TGAACATGAGCTGGAAAGGAATACATGAAAATAAGTTTGTGTGGCATCCATATTTATAAATGTAGACAAAACGTTTTGCTGGGCAATAAGGTATGACGTGTTGGGTCAGTCATGGAGCTGGGCACAGGGCCATCCTTCTTGCTATGAATGTGTTATGGCTTCACAAAACAAAGTAGTTGGGAATAAATACTTCTGGCCTAGCTCCTGTCTTTACCGGCTGTCACCTATTTAATCTTCTCTCCCTTTCCATGTTTGTTCAGAAGTCTCTCTCTTTCAGTGCAGCTGGAAATGTTGTTACTAATGGGTGACCAAGCCTGAATGCTGACAATGTCAGATGATTACAACTGTCCAAAGAGCAAACACATCAACTTTTCAACAGGAGATGCTCCTGCTGCTCTGATGAGCTTCTGAGATACAGCTCCAGGGAGTGCTGGTGATAAATGGAGGATAATGCCAACTCAAGATGAGAGGCCATGGGGTTCAACAGTTGCTCTATGAGAAAGCTGCTGTACTTAAGAGTTTTGACTTTTCTGACTGGGGGTGACTGGCTAACAAGGTCTGTGATTGCTTTATTGATGTCAAGGAGGGTCTCTTACATTATTCTTGAAGTGGCAGGAACAGCAATGGCTGAGCTGGTGAAAAGAAAAGAGTGAAGTGCCAGAACTGCTTGGCATGTGTTTGTCGCATGCTGAGATAGCAGATCAAATCCAAACTGCAACAAAGTAATCATAAAAAAGAATCAAAATTCATGGGACACAATCTGCCATGTGTGAGTCCTTGCTTGAATTTAGAGTTTGCAGGTGACAGAAAACTGAGAGGAGTGTCTGGGGGTTGTGCTGCTATCCAGAGGGACATCCATGGGCTGGAGATGGGGCCAACCTCGTGGAGCTCAGCAGGGAGAAGTGAGAAATCCCATTTGTGGGGAGGAACAATACCAGACACAAGGACCGGAAAGAAAACAGCTCTGCAGAAAGGGGCCTGGGAGGCCTGGTGCACATTAGAGTGTGCCATTGCCACAAAGGCCTCTTGGCTCCTTTCGGCAAAGTGTCACTAAGCAAGTTAAGGGAGGTGATCCTTCTCCTCTGCTCATAGTGAGGCTGCATCCAGATAGCACTGTTCAGTTCTGGACTTCTCATTGTAAGTGAGATCGCCCAAGAAATCGCCACTAAGACGATGAAGGTGATGTTCATGGGTTTGGGTTGGAAGGGACCTCAGCACCCACCCAGCCCCAAGCCGTGCCATGGGCAGGGCTGCCCCCTCCCCTGCTCAGCTGCCCTGGGCCCTATCCAACCTGGCCTTGAGCGCCTCCAGGGATGGGGCACCACAGCTTCTCTGGGCAGCTGTGCCAGGGCTTCACTGCCCTCCAAGTAAATAAAAGCAAAATCTTTGGATGTAGAAGCCTTCCAAGAAGCTGTGTTTCCTAACTTATTTGACTGAGCTCCACAGAGCTCTGGAGAGGGACTGCTCGCACTCAAGCAGTCTCTGCTCTTGGCATTTCAGACTGGAGCTGTTTCTAAAACATATTTGTAAAATCCAGCCTGAGATTTTGCAGGCCTCTCGCTTTACATGGTGCAAAGCACACAGCTTTCCCCATCACTTCAGTAGCAGTGCCTTGGGTTGGCACTCAATCATGAAATTATTTGCAGCATCTCTTCATGAACTACCACAACTTGAGAAGCATCATCTGCAGCACATTCCTAAATCATTCATCTGGGTTTTTATTTTAAATGATGCAGTAACTGCTTTCTAATGATTCAAAAAATAACTTCAGTAATGAGAGCAAGTGTGCAAGAGAGCTTTCTGCTCAGCCTTGCCAAGCTTCCATATAGAATTGTAAAGGTTTCATTTTGGAGTGTCAAGATTTCTGCTTCAGAGACACAAGAAGAAAAAAAATCCATCACAGACCTTTAAAACAGTCATTCAGCTACTGGCCAGGCTGTTCTAGAATCCCAAGCACATTTCCTTTGCATTGTACACACTGACATTCACGCTGATGGTTAAAGAAGGTATTCATAAATGTTCAGGCCAGAGGGGGAACACTGTGAGCATGCAGCATGATCTGCAGTGCACCAGGCATGAAATTTCACACGGTTATTTCTGTATAGAATATTTGACTACTCTTCTAGAAAGATTTATTTCGGGAAAGCAGGTGCTACCACGAGTGTTCGTTTCCCTCTGTTCAGAACAAAACTGCCAACAACCCTTCATTTTTTCAAGGAGAGGGGTTTTACCCACACTCCTTAATTACAACTGTGACTTGGATTTGGTAATATGGATTCAGTGCTTATGTTGTGCTCTGTTGCAGGCTAGATCAATAGGACATTTGTGTATAAAACTAAGCCTCCACAGAGAATTCATTATTAGGCTAACTAATGCCATTAGGGAAAACCATCAACAGATGGAAATCAGATGCTGGTGCCTATTTACCAAAGCTGAGGATCTAGGCCTTTATATGCAAGTGGAGGATATCTTTCTTTTACATGCTTGTACACTGACCTCTAGTTTCTGTATTTTATTCAGCAATACACTGTGATATAACTACATGTCTATAAAGAAAATAACCTCAAAAGTAAGGCTTGCACCAGAGTTTCTTGAGTTGCTGTGTGAACTTGGAGAGTTCTGCAAACATACAATAAAGGACAGATCTGTTAGTGGAAGACTGGCTGGTATGAAGAAAGGTTTCTGTTATAACACTGATGCCACCCCTTCAACATCGCATTCATCTGTGCAAAATAAACAATTCTTAGTGATAGCAAAAAGCAGAGACTGTTGTTGTCTTGGGCTGGCAGACTTCACAACATATGACAAGGGAGAGAATTTTAAAGCAGCAAAGGATACAAACTGTTTTTAACACCAGAAGCCAACATCTGCCAGAGTCTGTTTCAAGGGAAAGGGCGTAAGAAAACCAGCAATTTATTTTTCATTCGGACGGCAGAGAAAGATTCGGGGCATATTTTCACAACTCTTTCATATCTGTATCATTACACAGTTTTGTTTGCCTTCCATTCCTTGCTTTAAAAGAAGTCTGGGATGAATCATACACAGATCATTCTGCTATCTGAACATTCCTTCCGGATGGCATCTCCCTCCAACGCTTATTGCCCTGCTCAGCAAGGCATCGTCTGTTCTGTGCAGGAATAGAAGCATTGTTCAACAGCCTCCGTCTGCCTTAGACATATCCTTCCAAAGAGCTGTGCTGCACTCTTGTAGTAAAGGGTCTAATTTTCACATGTTTAAGACTGTGCACTTTCTTATCACTTCCACAGTGGTACTGGGACTGGCTTCACCATCATTCCCACTGAGCTATTTAGGTGCTCAGCTCCACTATCAGATTCCAGAAATACCAACTTTTTTAGACTCATGCACAATGTTTTCAACTGCAATTTTGTAGAAGTACTGGAAGACAGGATTAGCTACAATTAATCTTTGAGTCTAAACCAACACATCTGATGACTTGATCTTAGTGACCACCAAAATCAAAAGCTTTGTGCATTTCCACGCGTAATATACCCCAGAATTCTCTGCAGGCAATCTTGCTGTGCATTTCTCTCATTTACTTTTCTCTTCTGCCAGTTGCAAAGAGAGTAAATGCATCCCTTCCTTTTTTGCAGCACCCTGCTATGGATTTTGGAAACGTGCTACAGTTCTTGTCCTACAGGCCTTCTCTTAAGCAACACAGTTTCTACAAACTTTCCTCGCAGAGCTTTAAACTACTTGTTATCCTCCACTTCTAGGCTTTCCTGAGCAGGCACTGCAATCTTCAACAAATGAACAAATGTAGCGTGCTTTGTTTGCCACATGAAAATGAAAGTGCTTCATGTATTGTTGGTTAAGACCTTAAATACATGCAGTGGAGAGAACTCTGAAGTTGCCCCCTGCTCATAACATTTTCAAAATGAAGGTTGTAAATTAGGAAGGTAAAACAGCACTAGAATTAGGAATGTGTCTGGGATTGGGCAATTCAGAGGAATATAGCAGGAAACGAATGCCTAAATCTGTGTATTTCTTTGGCATTGCATCACAGTATGCCTCCTAACAGAACAGGTTTCTGCTGTGTTTACACCACTCCTTGGACACAACCCTACAAGTAGGAAACATGCAGCTGGGTGCACGAAGCACGTCAGGAGACATGCAGAAGTGTAATGTGCTTGTGTAATTGCAAGATCCTTTTTTCTACCTTATTCCAACCATTTTTGTTGTGGATTCCTATTACTTGCAACATACACAAGCTTGGGCTCCCTTGTAGGTCAGTCTGACAGTCTTTCAAGACACAGTATGTGTCATCTTGACCACCACGGCACTCTTAACTGCCGGAGGAATCTGATTCCAGCACCAGTCAATATGCTGGCACACTGGCTTTGCTGCTGTTGAGAATTAACTGCAGAGTTATGCATAACACACTGCTGGACTGACAACAGCAACATAACTTTGTAGTTCTCTGCTTCATCATGTGCTCTGTTACGGAAACAATCCAGTATATCATTTTGGAATCATATGAGGTCAAAAATGTGTTCTGGTTTAATGAGAACCAACAAATGTTGTGGAACAGGTGCAAGCAATCCTTCTCAGTTCATCTTTCTACTCTCTGCCTGCTGACTTGTTTTGCTCCTGGTTTTCCAAATTCTACTTCTGAACTCAGAGGAAGTTCTTCCACTGCTGACAAGCAAGGCAAATACACAAAATATTTTCGGTAGGCAAAACAAAATCCACAAGGTTCTGGTAAGCACCAACACCTGATGCTATTTTTCATTCTTTTTTAAGCAAAAAAAATCTATTTGATGAAGGGGACACTGGAAAGGGAACACGAAAGGAGAATATATTAAATACTCCAATGTTTTGACAAACATCTTTGCAATAGGAGCTGCAAGTATAGATAAATGCTGATGAAGAATTGAAGTGCTCCTCTGTGAAGAGCTTTCACTGTGAAGAAACCAGGGAGCATTCCATTGCAAGTGGCATGATAATGTAATGATAAAACACCATTGCTAGGACACAGAAGATCAATCAGAATGCCAAATCAGATTTGGCATAGCTGAATTCTCATCAAGTTTATTAAAAATTAACAGCTCAAAATAAACAGTAAGTAAGCTGTGTAAGAAACAGCTCAAAATTTTTACTTTTCCAATATTTCACAGTAATTACAATGACTGTGTTAAAAATGTTGCCCGAGATGACAAAATAAAGCATGAAACCACAACTTGAGCAGTAAATTAGAATCTCATTCTTCTAATCAGTGTTAAATATTTATTTGTATCTTCTGAAAATATTTTAACTTGAATAACTTATATACAGTTATCATCAAATATTTCAGAGATCCGCTCTCAGGGACATGCATTTTTTCCATTACAAATTCTTTCCATCTGTGAAGTCAAAAATTTGACAGGATTACAACTTTCTGATAGAATCTGTCCTTTGACTCTTAGAATATCGTAGTTGTAAAACTTGCAGGCTGATTGTACACCTTTTAGTACAGAAGTCAGTGACAACAGAGTTCTGGGCACTAAAATCATGAGGAGTTGGCTTTTTCCATTTTAAAGAACAAAATACAAAATAATATATACCTGAGAAATTATCCCTTAAGATGCAACGTTTATGTTTGCAAGTAAATGGCAAGAGTAGGATTTCACATCTTGTTCTTCTTAATTAGGCAAAGTTACAGTACCACTTCAGAACAACAAGACAAGCTTTTGTTGGAAGCTGTATAATTCACTCCAGTGCCTCGGTGGCAGGAGAACTCTGGAACACAGAGAGCTAGCAGGGAAATGTATGCCACATGCTCCAGGATGAAAACTGCAAGGAAGACCCAGAGTGCACCTGCATACAGTGCTGGAACAGCCCCACAGCAATGGCCTTTTCATCTCTTCAGAACTGTATGTATCTGAATACAGAACTGAACATTGCACACCAACAGAATGCAAACCACACACTCAGTCTTGCCATGTAGAAGAGCTGCAGATCGATGATAGCCCTTCTACTTTCATAAGAAAAGAGGGAATCTAGATCTGTTGCAAGGAAACAAGACAAATGTTTAGTACCTTGATACTAGTTCATAAGTAACCCTGGATCTGTATCACATACATATCACCAGTAACACTAATGGTCTCATCTTCCCTGCACAGCAGGACTGGAAAATTCCTGCTCATTTCATATGAGCACAAGTTCATATGAAAGTTATTATCCCTCTCCAAAACAGAAAACAAAAAAGCTTATTTTGCTGACCAAAAACGTGACCAAAAATGAGAGCTGTCAGGCCTGCACCTTTCCCAGTCACAGCCTAGCATACACTTGCACTTCATTTGCAATTATGCTGTTGCAGATTTGATGGAGCAGTCGGTATTTGTACACACTTCTGTTCACACTTACGAAAAGAGCTATGATTCATACTGACCTTCTGTGAGCCCCTGTTTAACAGAAAAGTATCAATTCCCTCATTTCTAAAGAGCAGTGATAGATATGACCCTTTAAAGTCTGCTCAGCTCCTACAGAGGGAACACCAATTGGGACATCAAAACCAGGTGGTGTATTTTAATGGGAAATACTTTCCTGCAACATACGCCCCCAAGTTTTTAAAAAAGAGAAATAAACACCTAACATTCCCCATTGTTAATACATGTAATTAGTTCCTGAAAAAAAAAACCCAACTGTCTTTAAGATCTCTGATGCAGATTGTGCTTTTGATTCTTCCTTCACTTAATATTACATCAGAACACAACACTTGCAGAGCAGGGGGGTCACGCAGGTTCTGAATTAAAACATTTCATCCCAAGAGGCAACCCCCTCACATACTGTAGCAATACATCAATCTCAAATTAAATGCATTTATGAGACTCACAGATTGCATGTTTAAGAATTGTAAATCCATGTGAGCTCCTCAGAAAACAAACAAACAAACAAACAAAACCAGAATAACTTAAGGGTTTTCCGTCCTATCTTTCTTGAGAAGTGAATGGTCCCAAGGTTTTGATGATCCCCAGATCAAGAAGCTTGGCCATGGGTTTTGCTTTTATAGTCAACTGCCCATACACTTACTGAAAGATTTTGTACACTTCTACTTTAGGCTTTTCTTCTCCTTAGTTTCCACAATCTGCCTTTAATCTTTAACTATGTGGACAACTCACAATGAACATGTAAAATTATCTGCAAAAAATGGAAACTGTCTCTTCAGGAAACAGATGAGGAGATACAAAAGTAGCAGTTGGGAGACAGGAAATTACAGGCTGACAATTTCAAGGATACCAGACACTTTCTGGGAGCAAAGAGACGCTCAGTAGATTTGAATGACTTCATCCCATTCATCGACAGGCCAGACACCGTTGTACTGCACGTTGGATGGTGAGTTCTTCCAGTCCCACGTCTTGACAGGAACCTTCCAGTCTGGGCCATAGTTGGCTTCAACATACTGCAGGGTCTCACAGGGTACATGGACCTTGAGTTCTACAAATTCAGTCCAGCACAGAGTAAACTTCGGGAAGAGATACCTGCACCACAAAAGGACATGGTCACCAGCAGAAGACATGCTTAGCGCATGCAAGTCAGTCCATGGAGAAAGCAAGCAACTGCAATGAGTGGCCAAGTCACATTTGCAGATTTTTTTCTTATTTCATAGTTTCCTACCTATGATGCATCATTTACCAACTGGACGGGGTTTTTATCAATAGTACCTGGTTAGTATTTGCCACATGTTCTCAAGGAGGAGCATTTCTAATTCTACTGCTGTTTACTCCCTTGCTGTTCTCCCTTGTAAAAGAAATTAGTCCCTGTCTCTACCTTTCCACTTACAAACTGAAATTAAGCTACCTTGTTTGAAGGATATCAAGATATTTGACATGTTTTTTGGGAAGGAAGATTTCAAATACAGCATGAAAGACTTTTCTGTGAGTCAGGCGTGGAAATCAAAGGTATAATTTTTTATAAACAAGTTTTTACCTTTCTTCAATCGCATGAAACAAAGCATTCCATTTGCCTTCAGTGCCTGCTTAAACACAGTGCCAGACTTGGAGCAGCTGCAAAGAATTAAGATACAGCTGCCGCTCTGCACTTTCTGAAACCCCCGTGGCCCATTTAAATTAATATATATTATACCAAACCCACCTTGTTTTTTGCCTGTTCTTTTCAGCAGAGGGCTCAGTGTAGGCCCCACCTACAGATAAGCTGATACTACTGGAAATTGACAGCTTGGTCAGAATGACATCCGATGGGAACCCTATATGTTAAACCAAAGTGTATGCACCGTTCCTGCAGAGGATCATTCCTGCTTCTTAAGTCTTCCACAGGAAAAAAAAAATAAAAAGTGTTCTCAACATTATTTTTCACAGGTCAAAAATTGGAATTAGAAGTAGTTAGCACTTCTGAGAAAAGGGTTAAAAGATTTGTGCATTTGCATGAATTAAAAATCTAGCAAGTTCCTCCAAGTACAAAGCCAGTGTTTTATCTAAGAGCTGAGCAAACAATTTCAGAAAATAAAACAACCTTGCTTTCATGCTTTAAACGGAGGTGAAAAAGAGTGATCAAGCACTTTTTAATTTATATCTAGGGACTGACAATTAGCTTTAAACTGAACTAAAAAGAGAAAAAAAAAGCCAGCTACCAAGGGGGAAACAAGATAAATAAACTTTATTAGTGGGTCTATAATCATCAAGAAGATATTTACTTCCTATTTACCCAGGAAATCATTCATCTATCTGAAGTGGGCATGCATGCATAAGCAAAAGCTATCAGCACACAGCTGAAATAATACATCCTCCAAAGAATGAACTCTAAATAATCAATTTTAAGGAAAATGAACAGATAATTTAAACTAAACTATCTAATCTGCAAATTCAAAGCCAGTTAGAAACTCCATCAAATTATTTAACTAATTCTGAAATAAAATGCTTATATTCCCTAATGAAAAGTACTACTTTCGTTGAGGTATTCACCTCTGGGATCCTTGTTCACTGTTCAGGCATTACAAGTGGCTTGGCCAGGGCTGGGTGCTTTTGTGCACATACACCAATCACCATTCCTTCTTCCAATTTCAGTCTCATGAATCAGAAAAGATTTTATGCTTACAGAAAAGTCTCTATATTTAGCAATTACAGAATTAACTCATTTTAAGGATTAATGCATACAGCATACATTTGATTACTGGGATACATTTTTGTAAAGATATATTCTGTGCTAAGAATGAACAAAAATGTACATCTAGTACAAATCTTCTAAACAAAGAAAGTTTCAGTTCTTGTTACCTCAAAAACAAAATTACGGGGGATTTATGAGTTTGCCTGCCTCTGTAGTGTTGTGAGAGTATTTCTATACATAAACATGTAAACCACATAGCAAGATTTGTATGGCTTGGAAACCCACTTGCCAAGGAAGTAAAAAGAAAAACATCTACTGAAAAATATTTTCTAGACTAAATGAGAAATAATTCCATTCTTCATACTTTTATTTAGTAAGATATGTAGAAAATACATTGGCAAAAATATTTAGCTTTTTTGAAAAAAAAAAAAAAAGATTTTACCCTCCATTTATTAAAAACATAAATATCTCTGCATAGAGCCACCTTCCAGATCTGTGATGATCCAACAGCAATCAGTCTCTCTTCTGATACAAATGAACAGCAGGTGAGATTTAGGATTTAACATGACCAAACAGTCACTCCACTTTTGATTGACCTCTCTACTTCAGCTAGTCAAAATTTTGAAAGTGTGATGGCTAAGAAAAATGGAGGGTCCCAAAGTCTGCTACTGAAATGCAATTTTGAAAGAGGATGTCAACTTTACTGGAATGAAAACAGATATGAAACACAAGTACATTTCTGGTCAGCTGCCTGAAAAATACATTAAAAAAAAAATCCTCCATGATCTTGTACAGAAAGAAAAGAAGAAAAGACATTATACTTGCTCTCGATAACCATAAAACTGTTGTATTCTACAAAACATATTACATTTCCTATGCAGGAATATTCCAGTAATTCTTCTCCTGGTCTATTTTTAAGTGTACTTTTTGACTCTGCTTTTCAAAGTATCTTCCCCAGTCTTTGTTTATCATTTCAGAACAAATAAATCTACAGCAAGGAGTCACACACTATCACTGTCTGGGTGACAGTGCACAGCTCCTGTTAGCTAACAGTAAGCAAATGCAGTTCAGGCAAAATGTGAAAGATAATGATATCCTATGTAAGTCAACAAGGCTTTCAACCAGTCTACAAGTGTCTCTGGGAGAAGATGGGTAATGGAAAGAAACAAATCTAATTATCAAAACCTCTATTCAGCAAGCTGAATAGATTAAGAAGCTGTTGTACTTATTTGCTGTTTTAGCACTGAAAAGAATGAAGCAAGAAATGTGGTATTCTATTTAAAATCCCATTCTCAGAACTTTAACAACAAGAAGGTCTGCAATAATTATCTGCACTGCTGTCACATCATTATAGTCAATGAAGTATTCCAGATCATTACCACAACATCCAAAACTATGGAGTTTACTTTGGAAGGACAGCTGAGGCTTTCTGGCATAACACTTGTCAAGACAGATGCCTAAGGATTTGTTTTTCACTTAGCATGTTTGTAAAACAGAAAAAGGTTTAAGAGAATTGTTTCTCATCTTAAACCTTTAACTTAGCCCTTGCACACTCCAGACATCATCTGGCTCATACACGACATGACAAAGTTTCAGATCTCGCAAGAGAACTAGCATTCGACAGGCCCAGCACCTCTCTGGGAAGGCATGGTATTCTCTTTTTATTTCTGTAGTCTCAAAGTACAAAAAACTCCTCTGATTCTCCCTGATACGTACCACAAAAAGCACAGACTTTGCCAAATGAAAAAACCCAATACAGAACTCTAACACTAAAACCTAACTCGTTCAGTTTCTTTCCAATTAGAGGTATAAATCCAGTTCATACTTAAATTTCTTGCCCGACTTCGCCTGAGTTCCGCCATTCCAAATGTAGTCATCTTCTTCATAGAAGAAAAAAATATCAAGTTTCACATCATCATCTCCCTGGAAAGAGAGTTCCAAACTGTCTTCTACCTGCAAGACAGAAATACAGACTATATGCACTCATAAAAACACAAGGCTACTGACGCCAGCAGGTTTCAGGGAACAAATTTATTTTCAATAATGCAGTGAAAGTGTAGAAAATAAACCACCACAGCAATTTCTTTATTTTTGGTGCCTTGAGAAAACCACAGATTTTCTGCACCTCAGTGAGACTGACTTCTCTTTACCACCCCAAAGCTCTGGCACTATCTCCTTGCTTTCTGCCACTAAGTGAACACAGAGCTATCTATTCAATGACCAACTGTAATGTCATTCTGCCTAGGCAAGTAAGCCAGAACTCCAGCAGTTTTCCAGGAGAACACAAAAGAGCTATGTGCAGAAAGGCAGAAATCTAAAACAAACCATTTTCCATTTAGATGCTTTTGGTAAAACAGATGAAAGCAGAGAATGATGACCTTTCATTGCCATGAAGTCTGCTACTCTATTTGGAAAGCACCTAAACATAGCCCCTTCAAAAGAAAAGGTATTATGGTATGGGTTTAAGATAAGAATTTTAAAAGTGCCTGTGTTGTGTGTTAACCCCAGTATGCTGATAAACACTGCACAGCTACTCACTCACTTTCCTTCTCACTTCCAGGAGAACAACGGAGCAGGAAAAGATGAGTGAAAAGAAAAGCAAGAAAACTTGTGGTCAAGATAAGGACAGTAACTGGTAAAGCAGAAGCTGCACACACAGGCACATCAAAATAAGGGACTAGTTTGTTACTTCCCATTGGCAGCCAGATGTTCTGGAAATTCCAGGTAATCATAGCTTTCTTATGCTTAACAGATACTTGAGAAGACAGATGCCATAATTCCAAATACTCTTCCCTTCTTCCTTCATTATCCCAGCTTTCTTTATGGAATATCCCTTTGATCAGTTTATCTGCATTTGCCTCTGTCCTCTTCCAATTTTTGCGTAATAACACCATGCTAGAAGGGAGCATGATAAACAGAAAGGGCTTGATGCTGTAGAAGCGCTGATGAGCAACAGATAAAAACACTGGGATGTCCTTAACACTGTCTTGGTTGCAAATCCAAAACGTAGCCATACCAGATACTAAGAATAAAATTAACTGTACTGTGGCACAAACCAATATGGTTTGCCACACAAAACTCAAGTTAGCTCTAGCAGTACTGTCCACTTAACACCACAACAAATTAATTTTTACAGCTGCATGTGCTCTGCATCGGGAATAGAAAATGGCTTGCTTAAGGCTCCCAGCTACCCTCACACAGGTCACACAACAGCCTTCTGCAATCCATACAGAAATTGCCACCACCTGAGAATGCCATTTGCTAAAAAGGCTCACATAAAAGAGCAGAGTAATATCAGTGAATAAGCAAGTGATTAGTAAGTCTTTTCATTTAACACCTACAATAACACCGTCTTTGACAATAAAATGCTCACTAGCACCAGCAGTGATAACTTTAATTGTGGCTAAACCCTCACATCCCTGTGCTTTTGTTTGTCTTCTACCTTTACATTCCACTCTGCAGCTTACACTCCAGAAAAAGATAGTAAGGGTCCACATAAGCTGATAATGGACTAGCCCAGTACCTACCTCAAGCAATCCTTTACTTTCTGCTATCTTTGCACTCAAGACGCAGATAATCTCAGAGCTGTTACCAATCCACTCTTAGAATCAGCCATATCCAATATCAAATTCTATCTCAGTTTTCTCCAGCAGCACTCAGACAAATTAGACCCCTCCAGAATTTTATAAAATTTCTTCTGCGTAAAATTCAGACTCCCCAATCAAGATTGAAGCCAGAATGAAGTAAGAATGCTATCTTCTCACACAGTGTCCCAGAGAACATGAAAAATCAGAAAGTCTACATGTTTAGGTAAAACATTAGACTGCAGGAGATTTCAGATATCCATCTCTACATAAAAGAACTGCAGCAGTACTCAAACTTACTAACCTACAAAAAGACATATTAAGTGAATTCTTCCTTATCTATGTACCTTGCCAAATTTGTGCTTTAAAGGTAATCCTGCTTTCTGAAAGGCTGGGATGATATCAGCTTTGTAGTCCCTTATAAAGATCCCCAGGTCCACATCTTTGCTGTAAGGAATGACACTGCACTGTCTATACCATCCTGAGAAATGGAAAAAAGAAGAAAAAAAAAAAGAATTAGTTAACTTTGGAGCATGAGAAATATATCACAAAACAAAGGCAGTACAAAAATGACCTATCAAAGGGTAACCAGCCCGAAATCCTCAAATGAGGTCATAAATAAGACTCCTGCTTTCTCTGGTAACAAATGAATCACACTGAAGAAAACAGAAGGACTAACAGCAGCACTTACAGCCACCTCCTTTCTCTATGAAGCCAGGAATGAAAAAGTACTAACTCCTAAAATGAAAATATCTTCAGCTTCCTATTCTAAATGTCTTCAGGAAAGTATATTCTTTATCTGGGTCCAAATCTAACAAGAAACGAACAGCTGTAGGGCTGTAGCCATGCTTATAATTTTCAACAATTACTTTAAATAGATTTGGAGCGCTACTGCAGAACACTAAGACAAGAACTGAGACATTCTTTAGTTTGTTTTATTAATGCAGTTTCAGTAACTGTTCATTCAGAAAATTATATTCTCTAGGCCAAAAAATGTAAAGATGACTTGCTCATATGTGACACAACCTATTTCAGAACCTATTTCAGCAAGGAAAGGAAAGATACTTCTTTCAACTTTCAACAGAACTAAAAGCTTGTAGTGCCTATTCTACTAGGTTTTTTATTAAAAGACCTATGTTTAAAAATATATAAATAGATATCAAATTTATTTTATCAAATAAAAGCTCAGTGATAAACATGGGAAGAAAATCAGGTGACAGCCTATAAGAACATCAGAAAAATATGATCACTGTATCTTCCCAACCAGCACTTAACAAATTGTAAGCCACACAACTTAGAGAACTTATAATTACTTTCCAGGCAGAGAAACACTGAAACTGGTGGCAATCCTTAATGCTTGGAATACACTAACAATCTCGAAGGCACAAGTTTCTCAAGAGAAATCAGGAAATCAGGTTAAGAGAAAAAGGCCTTATTTTAATAAAGCTAAAACAGAACATCTGCTTCACACTTGACAGATAACCACCTTCCAGCTGCTAACCTCAGGTGACATCACTAATGCAGCAGGGGATAAAATGTTTAAGATTTCAGATAAATTAAAAATGTTTTACCAAGGCACGTTCCACTGCTCAGCCAGAACTTTACTCCCAAGTTATTCAGTGTCAGGGCAGCTAAATGCAACAAGGATTTTGCTCTTTTTCTGAATTCCACTGCATCAACAGAGGCATCATCAGGATACATCTGGAAAGCAAAAGTAAGCTGCTATGAGAGAGCAAATTTCTCCATCCATTTTTCTGCATCTTAGGAAAAAAATGACCTCTGAAAATTTATTTAATATCTGGGCATTATGTTTTCTCACACACATAGTTCAGTTTGAGAACATGCTGGAACTGGAATCGCAGGTCAAATTTCAACTCTGAAATGTCAATATTTGTCTTTTCCAAAGTACTGTAATGTAAAGTCACAGTAAAACAGAATAAGACTACATATATTAGACAAAGATAGTGGTAACAACACACACAACTCCTAACTCTGCTCACAGAGGAGCCAATACCCACAGCCTAGGGGAAAGCAGGGATGCAGTCACATTTGAGCATATTACAGGTTTATTTGGCGCCACCAAGTGTTAAAACTGGATGTTCAGAACTTCTGCTACATAACTGCAGCAACGCGAATGAAAAACTTGAAAAGAAAAGCCAAAACCATAGAGGCAGTCTGGGCAAACATTGCCAAGTCAAACATGTAATCAATGCACTGACCACTCAACTTCAGAACTGATGTTGCTAAGAGCTCCTGGGTGACAAGCACCTCGATAGGTTTCAAAATAGAAGCCAGCTGCTTATTTCAGTATTGAAGTTCAATATGTTTTCCCAAGCATACTTTCTCTACCTGTGGCAATTACTGCCTGGAGGCTTCAGAGAATCTGAAATCAGAACTAGGAACATAGTATTGCAATACATTGCTCAAATGAATGTAAAAGTAAGGATTGTTCAAAACTTTGAGAAATGCATAAGTAACATTTTAGAGTACAAGATGCAAAAGATCTCATTAAATCCGTTCAACAGTGAGATTATGAGAAAACTGTGGACAGGTTCGTTACCCCTTCAAAAAAGGGGAAAAAAACCACACAAGTCAAAAAGAAAGACCATGATTCTTCAGTTAAAGTTTTTGTCTATTACCATGTACTGAATTATTTTGAGTCCCAGATCCTATGGGTTAATTAGCTTTATGCACATGAAAGGTTGCATTTAATTAGAAAAGTGATGAACTGTTTGTAGGTTTGGGTCAACTGGTGAAAATGTGCATTATATCTCAGAGACACTACTTGATTACCACTAACCTGAAAGAAAGCCCGAGCTTCTCTGTACCTACATTCAAGAAATCTAGAGTGTGACATCTCTTCTAGAAAACTGGATGGATTTTTTGGAATTTGAACTTTTAAGTCATCAATAGAAACAAGCAGAAGTTCAGGCCTGCACGGAAAGAAAGATAATAGGTTACTCGACTCAACTCCTTTACAAACTACAAGCCATTTTGTCCTCTAGCACTACTCGAAATCTTAAAACACACCCCTCTCAGTGACTCCTCTGTCCAAACTTACTCAAAATGAATTAAGAAAGAAGAGGAACAAAAGCTTCAATACATCCTTATAACCTTCCAAATTTCATTTAAAAAGAAATTCTGTGCCTGTAAGCCCATACTTACCTTCTCAGATTAGCATTTCCTTTATAACTTTCTTAACTTACACTAAATTTGTTCAGACCTGCTGCTCAATGCATTGAAAATTCAGGTTATTTGGTTGTCTAAATAGGAGATAGACTTTTAGAATCAAATTTCAACCTGTCCACAGAGGCTGTTTGCCTTTGAAGTTTAGAAGCCATTAAGTCTTCACAATGAGTGAAAAGAGGTATTTAACATCATACACAGTCATTTTTAAATGTTTAGGAACACAGTCCATAGCTTCTGTGTTTTAAAAGGAAGAAAAAGTAGTCTCAGCTTTAAGGAAAAAACCATAAATAGATTTATTTTGACCTGTGAAATGTCTGGCTGTTTTAGCATGACATAAACACATGCCATACAAGAATACTGCTCTCAAAGCATAGTGGTACGTGCTAGGCTTTAAAAACAGTGACAAGATTTGCCACCATCTGTATTTTCTGAAACGATTGAAAATTGAAAAGTTGCTATTGAAAGTGCTTTAACAAAAGGCAGATATTTACAGTAACTTCACCAGTGGGATGCAAAGTTTAAGCATAAGACTAGGGACAAATAATTTCAAACATTTGTGCAAATAAGGAGTTGGAGCAGCACTTTACAAATCTAGATTACAAAGTATTTGTTGCTGCTTTTCTGCATGATACAAACATCCCTTCTCTTTATTCACATTCTTTAATACCGGTCATTTATTACATTATTACTAAGCAAATTTGTGTTGCCTCCCATTTTCAACTATGTCCTATATCTGCATTAAAAATTTTGGATGCACGTGACTGCAGGAAGAACACCAAATACACACCTGTTATTACTGTATCTCCTGCCACTTAGCTTTACCTCTCTCATTTCTCATTTACAAATGATGAGAAACTTTTGTTTTCAATAACCAGTATTGGATTTACCTTCATAAGTTTACCTTCCAGGCACTCCGAGAGCTAAAATATTCATGACTCATTTTAAAATTTATAGAAAAGGCCAACTTAATATACAAGAGAAAGAACTTATTTTGGAAATGATGCTACAGCCTTTTGCCCCCTTTGTTGTGAACTCACCTTTCATACGCTCCAGGATAGCGACCAAAGTGGAGCTTCCGGAAAGACACAAATTTTCTGTCCATATGTTGCTTGAGCCTTAGGGGGCCATGCCAGAGGAAATTACCACTCCTCTCATAGAACACTACCAGGTGAATGGCATGAGACGCCAGTTTAAAAATGTAGTGCAAGGGAATTTCAGTGCCAGACAGGTCATCCATCCCATCCAAGCGAGGGTCCTTGTTTAGAACCTTTAGCCACTGGAACCCCATCTTCTCAGCGGTTCTAAAAAGTCCCACCTAAAAATGGGAGAGACAGAAAGGCAGAAAGAGGGAGAGAAGCTAAACAGAAGAGAAACCAAAACTGAATGCTAATCTTATTAACTGACATTATTCCCATTTTTCATTTTCTAATCAGATTTAAGCATCAATCACTCAACAATTTGTTACAACCTAAAGATTAGGAACCATAAACAACTGCTGTATTTCCTTTTATTAAATTTTGACCAGCAAATTGTCAATAAAACAACACATTGAACACTGTCTTTTCCCAGCCACTACATTGTGCATTTTGTAGCATCAACAAAAAAAACTCTTTGTTGAAACTCTACATTAATACATAAAAAATATGAAGTGTAATCCATGATCTTTACCATAATTAAAAGCCATTTTCATTACTGCAATAAAGGCACTCACACAGTTATCAACAGATTTTAAAATTTTAAATATACTAATGGTAAGCCACTGACTTTCCTATTTCCTCCAAAAAAAAAAATTATGAAGTTATGAAGTTCTGCCTGGTAAGAACTAATCAATCAGCACCTGACAACCCTTTCAGTTACTCCTCTGGATTATACAAATAGCAAAAATAAGCTACAAAGGAATGTGGAGACGGAGTTCCATTACTGTTCTGCTACATGATCTTATTCTCAGTTCCTTAAATTTCTTTACAATAGTAAAACCATTGTCTGATCAGCTATGGAGCATCAGCACTGTTTGCTTGTTTAGGACTGCTTCAGTAAAATGGCTACAGATCATTTTAATATTTCTTGATGGCGTTGTGGAGAGGGACATGAATGAAAAAAGGAAAAGAAAAAAGCTGTTTATCACTGGCATCTGTAGTTTGTATAATTTAACCCCTTATGTATTTCCAGATGCCACAGCTGAGGAAATTATCTTGGATTTAATTTTGTCCTTCATCCCCTACTATATCTCCACTTTTAAATGCATCCACTTAAAAATCTCATGCTACTGAAGAAAAGCACCAGGTGCTACTATACTAGGTGACAAAACAAAATGGTGTGAACACACAGATGTACTAAAATAAATGTAAATGAGCAGATTATCATAATCTTTCCAGCCCTGTCACATTAATACTTGCATTTTATCAACAGATCTCCAGATTCAACATTTATTATGGCTCTATCTACATAACAGGCTTAAAGATTTCCCCTTCCATTTCAAAATATCAATCTCTTTTTCTTTTTGGGGGATGCCACCTTAATACAATTGCTTCCAAATACTGCAGATAGCCTCTTAAGAACCTTCTGTTATCTCAATAGGCTCTCAATACCTATTCTCAAATCAACTGTGTGACTTTCTTCAAAGCCAGGGTTACCATTCTCTTTCAACAATTCATGTGTTTCTAAAACTTCAAAGGCTAGTACGTGAATACCTTTTAATTTAAAAGAGTTTCATCTACCATCATTCTTTGGAGATTTACAGCAAATTCTGTGTCCTTAAAGCAAACATGGAAGCATGATGACACAAAATCCTAGAACAGTTAAATGCATCAAAATACACTATGTGAACTGAAGAAACTCACTTCATGTTTCCACGCTTTGTCCAGTAGTGCAAATGTAGTGAAGTCTCTTGGAGCACAGAAGTACTTGCATTCTGGACTAGGACCATCAGAAGAACTTCTGATCTGTTCAATGTCTTTATCAATAAGTCCCAGAATTAAAGGATCAATCAAATACACTGGTATATTGTGACTGGATATTAAGCCTAGGAATTTCCTAACCACATGCTGTTCAACAGAGGAGAAAACTAGAATTAGAAACATCATTTGTAAGTGTATATGAATCAGTACATTAACTCTTGACCAAATGATAAAAGGAAATCTTATCTCCCAATGTGCCTTATCTTATCTTATCAGAGTGTGCCTTTACTTCCATAAACAATTGCAGAAATTGAAATTTCTTCTTTCAGATGAGCAGCCTGCTCTCAAGCACTCCCTATCTCTAAGACCAGAGGAAAAATCTTCCATATTCACTTAAAAATTTCCAGAAATTAAAGCGCTTCAGAGTGCTGTAATCTAGAATAGCCTCTAAATTAAGCTCTAGATTTTTTCCAGTTCCAGATCAAGTTGGAAAGCGCTTAAGTAAACTAACAGATGACAGATGTAGATGGAACATACGGGCGCTGAGGGAACTGGCTGATGTCCTTCTGAGATTCCTCTGACACATTTCGAGTCTAGAAAGAGCTAAATTCCATACCAACTCCAGAAAGAAGGCTCTGGGGAACTCTGGTCAGTTTTATCTCAATCCCCAAAAAGCTTCTGCAGCAAAAGCCCCTGTAACGTTACATGTAAGCATACAGATGTCAAAAGTGTGACTGCGAAAGTCAGCCAAGTGCAAACTGCACCTAATGACCTCAGCTGCCGTGGAAGAAACAATTAGCTCTGTGAGCAAGGGGAGAGCAATGGATGCTGTTCACATTCTGATTTTAGCAAGTCTGTTGACCTACTCCCACACAGTATCCCAGAACCTCAAGTGGAGAGATATGTACAGGGTAAGTACAACAGAAGCTGCATGGAGAACCAGCTGACCAGCAGGCACAGGCCTGGTACCATGTCCTACCAAGCGCTGGTTACTACTGGCATCTCAGCAGGGTTCAGTCCTAGTCAACACTGCTTTGTAACTTTATTAATAATCTCTACAATAGCAAGGAGTGCATTCTCAGAAATCTGGTAGACTACACTGAACTAGAAGATCATTCAGTATGCTGGAGGGCAGGACTGCCATTCACAGAGACCAAGAAAAGATCCAGTGACTCATACTGATGGTGACAGGAAGCATAACAAGGACAATCTGGGCAAAGGCAAAGCCTGGCATGTGGCATGGGTGAAATTCACCTAATAGGAAAGGCTGGGGCAACTGAACATGAGAAACTGCAGAAAAGTACCTAAGTGTTCTAGGTTAAAACAAGGGCAGTCTACAGAGTGCCAAAGACCTGAATTAGGAAGACACAACCTGGAGATTTAGTTCTGCCTTTAATACCAGCACAACTAGGAGGTACAGAGAGGATGAAGCCAAGTTTTTCTCAGAGGTGCACTCTTGCAGGTTGACAGGCACATGGTTAGAAAACAGGAAAATGCAATCAGATGTTAGCAGAATTTTTTCCCAGTATATGTTCAGATGCCCAGAAAGGTTGCAATATTTATATTCTTAGAGCTATTGAAAGCTTAGCTGGCAAAAGTCTGAAGCAACCAGATCTAGTTGGCTCAACTCTGCAGAAAGTGCTGAACTTGCATCTGCTTCTGTGGATCTAACAGAATGCTCACACGGTAAATACTTAAAAGCAAGTACACACAGGTTGCCTGGACTTTATTGCAACAAATAGTTGTGGCAGATTTTCCACACAGACAGATCTCTCCTATCTCACCATTTTCAATTGAATTTATGCTTAACACCTTAGGTTCAACAGTGACCTCTGCTGGAAAGAAGGAGGCTAAGCCTGTTGGAAAAAAAAGGCAACCACCCAGCAACCATAACAAAGAATGGCAAATGAGAGAAAGAAGGAAACTTTACAGTCCTTACAGAATCATTAAAAAGACCCAGACAATCACATTTTCAGCTCATAAGTATAGTACTAATCCTTCATGGAATGCTCTCAAACAGTAAAGTTTCATGCAAACACAGACTGCATAATGCAGTCACTCTAAACCTAAAACAGGAAGGGCTTTAGCAAGTAACAAGTAATAAAAAATAAAACAAAAAATCAAGACTTGTATGAATCCTGAAAGCTTAAATCTTTGTACACAATTACAAATCAATCACTGTGACAGTCTTAGCTTAGTCTGCCAGTAAGTGGAGAGAATAAACTTACTCTAATCACAAAACATCCTCAGGAAATGAAGTTCTTTATTCCATGATTTTTCCTGAGAGACAAAGTCAGCTATGATTTACTTTAACACTACTAGGAATTGTGGAAATAGAAGATAAATTTTAGAACAGTGTTGAGCACCTGCTGTCATTTACACCACTAATAAGAAAGCAAGCTGCCCACCTTCTATCAGTAACACTAACTATCCTTGATGCACCTTTGGTGCACAAAGCGTGATTTGGCAAGGAGGCAGGAAGAACACAGGGCATTCAGCTGTGTTCACACTGCCTAAAGAGTAAAATATGTACCAAGAAGGCCCTGTGCGTGGGGAGAGGACTTACTAACTTGACTCAGAGGAAAATTCTGATCAAGTACATTTAAATGTCCATAGCACAGGGACAATTTACACCAATAACAACTGCAACTGCTATTAAAATTGTAGCTGAGATGTTTAACTGCAAGAATTAAATTTCATGATGGAAAACACAGTTCAAATAAGGAAAAAAAAATGTTTATAACAGCACTGCTAGGCTTTATGTCTGTTATATCTCAAGGTTTCTAGATGAGGCACAAAAAGGAAAAACAAAAAGGCCTGCTGTCCAAGCTACTAGTCCATCAAAATGACCCTGGTCTTCCAGCTCAAGCTCTCATACTCTTACAATGAAATTGCTGAGTCCATCCAAACGGATTTCATTTTCCAACATCCAATACTGGTACAGGATTCTGACTTCAGAGAGGTGAAAAAACACGAGTGAAGGCAGAACATGGATCAACAGATATAATCGGGAGAGCAGCACACTACATGTGCTTTACAAGCAGAGACAAGCCCACACCTTTAGTGATTTCCACTATACTCAGTCAAAAGGTAAGCAATATGCTAGCCTTATTTCTGTAATTACAACAAGCAGATCAGACTGATGAACAGGAAACTAATCTGTACAAAGATGTCTACTTTTTTTTCTTGTTACTTTTCCAGGAAAACAGGTGTTTCTACTTGGAACTTAAATCAGTAGGAAGAAATGATCATAGTATCAAGCAGAAACTCATTCACATAGAGTAGTTTGGACTCATCATGCAGGGACTCAAAAGGAAGGAGCTCTAAAGTAAAAAAATGGGACCATGGACCATTCTGCTCAATTACAGATAACCCTGTTAGATCAAGTTAGAGCTAAAGAGAATTCTGCCTACAGAATGGCAGGATGGAAGCTCCACTGTGACTTTATCACCTAACGCCACATTAGTGGTTCCAAAGAGGATCCCAACTCCAAGAATTGCAAGAGCCTTTGTGCCAGCAAGCAGTCCACAGAACAGCTGGTTTGGATTTTTTCCAAGTACGGTTCTTAATACAAACACCATTCGTTCTGCTCAGCAGAAACAAGGCACTTAAATGGCTGTTTTGCTAACTAGCAGCATTATTATCATCATACTGCACATCCAAAGCAAAGGGCAACCAGCTCCCAGCACAGCTTCTCCTTAATCACCTTTGCTGTTCTTGCAGGAGGAGATCTGTCAGTGAAAGACTTCTCTAAATAAATACTAACTACAAGTACCTGAGTATCTGTACTTAGGTACACCACATACAAATTTGTATTCAACTGACTTTTCCTTTCCCAGGACCAGTGTGATGTTCTAGCTGCAACGAATCCAGCACATCTTCAGTAAAACATAAACTAAAGCATGCAATTTTGAGTATGTAAGGGCACTCTTAACACTTGTCCTGAATGCTGGAATGCAGCAAGTAGCAAATGCTGAAATGCAAAATTTTCCTGCTTGTGAAGAACTTTATGATCCATCATAACCACGTAACAAGGACCACTTAGAAGCTGGCTAAATGCATGCAGCACGAAAGAAGTACTACCCTGTGACCTGCTGACTCTTCTATCACGATACTATCAAACAAGCTACAGACCAGAAGGCCAATCTTCTCAATACTTTGTCTTAAAGCACATGAAAGCCTAGATCAAAACTTCAGTCAGGAGACTTGATCCTAAGAGTGTAACGCAGCAAAGGACTGCACACGGAATAACTGTTAGGCTGCAACTCTGTCTCAACTCCACAGTGAACAGTTTTGAAACATGTAACCACCTCACTTCAGTTCTTAACACTAAAGCACCCCCAGTGAAGAGGCAAGAGCTCTAGGCTTTGCACGTGCAATTCTGTGTAAGTTCTCTGAGAACCGCAATGGAACCATGCAGTCAGTGACGTACGTACCCATCTAGTGTTGTCTTGGCCGGACTGGCTTCCTCTGGCTTTTGAAAAAACTGCTCCATTCTATTTAAAAAAAAAAAAAAAGGAAAAAAAAAAAAAAAAAAGGAAAATAAATAAGTTTCAGCTGAATACCTGCTTATGACCTCTTAACAATATTTTCAGGGGCATATATCCAGTTAGCCCTTTATGATTATGCCTACTGTTACCCACCTACAGCACTAGAAGCCTACTAGAAACCGAAGCCTATTGCTGTATTTATTATTTAGATAAGCTGACACGAGCTGTGCGGACAGGATCAGGTCTCGGGTTTGTGCACCGAGGTCAACAGCAGGGTGACAAACACCGGCACGTTAGGCAAGCACCACGGGGTGAAGCAGCAGGACAGAGCTCTCTCTTCCCAGACGTGGAGCAACTTCGCGTTGCTGGCGCTTATTGACGCCGTGAAGTCACGGCAGCTAGCGGCTCAGCTTTCAGCCTTCACAGACCAAGAGGAACGCATCACCACGGCCTCGTTCACCATCACAGACTGCGGGAAAGCGGCCAAAGGCGGGCGCCTGGTTTTACCTTCTGCGACAGGTAGAACTTGTAGTAGTAGAGCTGGAAGAGGAGGAACACCAGGCTGGTCAGGCTCAGCACAGCCAGCACCGCGTTCTTGTTGACCTTCTGCATCAGTCCCGGGGCTGCACGACAACGCCGCCCCACAGCAGCTCCGCGCCTCTCATCTTCCCCACTGCGCAACGCCCCGCCGTCGGCCTGCGGGGAAACGCGGGAGAGAGGCGTCGCACGGCCCTGCGGCGCCACTCGGGCCGCGGCAGCTGCGCTCAGGTGGCCATCGCAGCGCCGAGCTCCCAGCCCCCGCGCCGGGCCCCCCGCGGCACGGAAGGCCCGCCCTTACCTGCGCCTCCAGCACTCGCTCCGCGCCGCCCGCTGCGCGCATGCGCGCCCGCCCTGGCGCTGAGGCGCAACGCAGCCCCCGCCCTCCCTTCCTCCTCCCGTTCTCTCCCCGCCCCGCCCCCATCCCCGGGACGCCCGCGCGGCAATGAAGGCAGCGTGCTACAGGTTGAGGTGTACGCATCAGCTCTCAGCTTTATTCAGTAACAAAACGCTGGCAACACACACCCGTCAAAGACAGCGGAAGGCGCCCTGCCTCCAGCGGGCGGCGACGGGTCTGCGGGCAGGGGGCTGCCGAGGGATGGGCCGAAGCGTGATGGCAGATGAGATGAGATCCGGCAGAGCGGCCCGGCCCATAGGAGTGAACTGGGGAGAACGTCTGCCTCTGTCTGAATACGAGAAGCAGCGAAGGAGGTTTGTGCCATAGCTTCGTGCCGCACTTTGAGGAGAAAAAGCAATGAGGGAAGAAAGACAAGTCCCCTTCTGCCTTCTCAATTTGGTACTTAAAGGAACACCTCTCAGCTGGATGCTTTTACATCATCCTTTCTGCAATCCGTGTTCCTAAATTCGTGCACCTTCTCACAGAAATGAAGATAACCTTCTGCTTCGAGGGAAACCTCCAGTTCCTTACAGGTTGTGCTGAAGATATTTTAATGCTGAAATATTACCAGTAACTGCTCAAGTAAGTAGTAGTAAAATCTCATTTTGGTCATTTAGAAGATCTCCCCTGACTTGCCAACCAAACAGTCTGTCTCCAGAGCAGTGAGGCTCAGCATTGAAGTCACCAGCTGTATTACTGCATCGGACAGAAGATAATCCCCGCCAAAGAACCATCCCTCCTATCCCTGAAGCTTCCTCTGGGAAAAGCAGCTCCAAAGGCTGCATGCATCTCACTTTACCCTCAGAGCAAGTTCTTAACAAATATCATTAATATACTTTGTACAAACAGTGTATCAACTGTATCACTAATATATTGGTACTCAAGTCAAAACAGACACTAGCTCAAAAGAAAAAAAAGTCTAAAAAAATCTAAAGTGCTTAAGGCAATTCTTCATATCCCCATTTACTGGAAACAAAACAAAACAAACACAACACCAACAATGGAACTAGCTGTTAGCAGCAAAGATCTGAAATCTGTGCAAACTATTGTAACAAATTTATCTTTCAAGAGTACAAAGTCACATGTTAAGTTAATTTAGGACATTGGTTAGACTAAAACTTTCAAGTCAAAAGAATCACAGTATGAAACCCTTCATGCTGCCTTCAAACTAAGCATTAAAGAAAAAAATTACATAGGTTGCTCTGAAAGCAACGCCTCTTATTTCCATGGAAACTACAATAGATACAAAGATAATACTATTTGATAGAGCTCGTTCTCAGCTACAAAACACTTTTTCAATACAATCACCACCATTAGCTATGCATTTTTTTTTCTAGCTGGGAGCAAGAGTGCAGCATGCAGGCCTGTAAAAATCTGCTCCAGCAGAAGTCACCCTCTATGGCCACTATTGAAACACACCACTCATTGCCTCATCTTTACTCACATCCACTGTTTGATCTCCATACATATTCAGCAAGTGTCGATGAATGTCAGTGGGTGCCACTATTTCCACATGGAGGAATTCAATGACACACCTTTGCTTCACTCCCACTTCCAAGTCAGACACCATTCTGTCAGGCTGCCTGTCTGCTGCCATTTTTCATATGACAACAACTTTGGACCTGCTCCAGCACCTCAATGTCCTTTCTGTACTGAGATGCCCAAAACTCAACACAGTACTCGAGGTGAGGCCTCACCAATGATGAATACAGGTGCAGGATGACATCCCTAGTCCTGCTCAACACACCATCCTAATATAACCCAGGATGCCATTGGCCTTTTTGGCCACCTGGGCACAGTGCTGGCTCATACTCAACCGACTGTCTATCAGTACACCAAGGTCCCTTTCCATCAGGCCTCTTTGCAGCCACTTCTCCTGAAGCCTGTAGGGTTGCCTGGGGTTGCTGTGACCAAAAGGCAGGACCTGACACTTGGCCCCATTGAAACTCATACAGTTAAACTCAGCCCATCAATCCAGTCTATCCAGGTCCCCCTGTAGAGCCTTTCTCCCCTCAAATAGATCAACACTCCCTCCCAGCTTGGTGTCGTCTGCAAACTTACTGAGGGTACACTCAATCCCTTCATCAAGATCATTAATAAAGACGTTAAATAGAAGCAGTCCCAGTATTGAGCCCTGGGGAACACCTTGTGACCTCTCTTATTACACTCTCATTACAGAGTTAGATTACTCATGGTTGCTTCTCATTACACACTTTCTGCTCCAGAAAGAAAAATTAATGTTTATAGTAGGGTAAATTTAAACAGAAACTGTAGCTGGACATCCAAAACCAAGCAGATGAGCAGGTAGTAGGAACAGGCACTTGGCTATTTAGGAGTCTATTAAAGAATAAGTCCCAAAATAAGAAGCAAACATCATAATCCTTCTCTCTAAACACCATCAGGGCCCAGGCATGCAAATCTCACATGACAATGACATCTTTGCAGTTGAGCTCTACTCAGATGTTCACTGCAACTAAAAAAAAAAAAAAAAAACCAACAAAAAAACTAAAGAAATAAGGAAGAAATACTTGAGATTTGGATAGTAACAACTGTCTATGTGATAGCTTCAGATGCTGTTCATTTAAGGATTATGTCACAATCACAGAACCACAGGGGTTGGAAGGGACCTTCTGCAGACCATTGATTCCAACTTGCTGAAAAGGCAGGTTCACTACAGCAGGTTGCACAGGAAAGCATCCAGGTAGGTTTTGAAAATCTCTAGGGGAGACTCCACAACCTCTCTGGGCAGCTTGTTCCAGTGCTGGAACTTCTCTTGACTTGATGACCACATTCTTTTTATTGCAGCCTTCTTGGCCACAAAAGCACACCGCTATTTCATGGCCAACCTGTTGTCCACCAGGACACCTGGAGCGTTCTCTGCAGAGCTTCTTTCTCCTTTCTAGCAGGCCAGTCCCAAATCTATACTGATGCATGTGGTTATTCCTTCCCAGGCTTAACTTCTACTACCATACCACCTCCTCTGACACTGTGAGCCAACATAATAAACTAGGAGGCATTACTTTCAAAGCAGTTCTAATATGTAGCTGAAAAAATTATTTCTAAGCTCTTGGACTTGATTAGAGGGAAGCAAGCAGATTTTTTTTTAAACAGTCAATGATATACAAATAATTCTCACTGAAATGTTAACTCTTTCCACAAAGAATATAACATGCCTTTTTTGTTGCTGCTGTTTTTTGGTTTGTTTGGGGTTTTTTTTTTTTGTTTTTGTTTTTTTTTTTGTGTGTGTGTGTGTGGTTTTTTTGTGTTTTTTTTTTTTTAAGCTCTCCCACTAATAAATCATTTCACTACTACTAAACTTCCAGGTAAGAATTGAGATTAAAAAAATATTTTATGGGATTTGTAGGAGAAAATATATGACTACCAATCCAAAAGTAAATTAGGTGTTAGTTTTTGATTTTTTTTTTTAAATCAGAAAAAAAGCACAATTGCTCTATTTCTTCATATCTACCCAATAATCTCTTATATGAATAGATATTCTTTTGAGATGCCTGCTTGTTATCTCATGTTTGTATGGGAAGACCAGTAGTATTAATCTGTAGTCAAATAATTCTTGCTAGGAGAGCTAAAAAAAAAAAAAACAAAAAAACCACCACTATTTGTTATATTCTTCATAGAAAAATATTTGTAACAAAATTAATATTCAAGTCCATAACAAAATGCTTAAGTACAGTAATAGAAAAGTACATAGCTACAGCTCTTGATTTTCCCACCCATTTTTCAAACCAATTCTCAAGTTTCATCGCATAGCAGCCACACTGAAAAAAACATTCAACAATACAAGTGTTCAACAGACATTACTGAGCAATATTATTTAGATTACTAGTTGATCTCCTTAATCCATTTTGATTTTCCTGGAGTGCAGTGAAAACACTTGGCACCTGCAAACCAGTACTTACTGCAAGACCACCACACCAGATCTGAAAGAGAAAGGAAAAAAAATATTCACAAAAAATCTTAACACTATGAAGCAGTTATACTTTGCTCTCCCTTCCCATAGTGGAACTGACACAGAACTTAACCCACAGCTGCATTTGTTTTCTCTTTCTCTTTAGTCATCACATACAGAAACATTTTAAATCGGAAGCCAATTCTGAATAATCATCAAATAGCTTGGGTTGGAAAGGACCTTAAAGCTCATTTATTTCCAACTCCCCTGTCATTGCCAGGGTTGCCACCCACTAGATTAGGTTGCCCAGGGCCCTAGCATTACACCATAAAATCTGACATGCTTCACATTCTGTACTTTCCAAATAAGTTTATAACAAAAAAATAAAAAATAAAAAAAAATCTATATTTAAGACTGATATCCTAAGAGCTAAGCAATATCCTAACTTAATGACAGTTACAACCAATACACAAGAGTTGTCCAGTGTCTGAAAGCAGTACTTAGTTCTGTCATGTCACACTGGAACGATGTGAATGCGAATGCTGACATAGGTCAATGTGAAAAACAGTTTTGAGGAGATTCAGGGCTGCCATTGTAAGGGACATCTATTCTCCAACTGAATGATATTAAAGAACGTGTGCCTAATTGCACAAATAAATTTCAGTACAACAGCTGTAATTAAGCAGCTTGCCTTTTTTACTTTAACTATATTCAAGTTAACATCAATAGTGCAATAGAGACTGCAGCCAGTAACTTAAACTGTTAAACTCTGTGTGAGATGAAAACAAATAGGCTGAGTTGTACAAGCAAGTGTTCCCTTGCACGTCTTAAGAACTGATTTATGAGTCAGCTGTAGCAACGCATAATCAACTTGTAGTGGTATGTCTGACAGTAAAGTATGATGAGAAGTAAAGTTGCCTGGGAAATCTTCATTAATCAGCCTAATTACACAATAGAACTATAGTGCCATGTTTTCTGTGGGCTGGATTACAAGAGGTAGAAGGTCAGTGTCCAGACACCTGAGTTGTTACTATGAACTAAAGCGACAGCCTCCTCAGATGCCTAAGTCCTCCCAGGCCTATATCCTGCTCCCCAGATATGATCTGCTTGGTAGGCAGCTTATAATGCAGCTGAGGCCTCCATTTGTTCAAAGCCCTTAAAGGAAAAACAAGTATGCAGTAACTTATTCTCTTCTCTTGCATTTTTGCAGATTTGAATTTTCACAGTTAAAGTAAGTTTTCATTGATTAGCTTATAGGCAGAAAAAAGGCATGCAGACCAGAGAAATGACTAGCAAGAAAATCTCATTGCTTTTAAAACACTCTAGCTTTCAAATGTTTATTTCAGAGGGATGCATTTAATCTAGTCTTATCTCATGATATCTGCTCTGGCAGCTTTTAGCATATTGGGCTTTCGTCTGCATCACTTTGGATCAGTTATTGTAGCAGGATCATCAGGTAACAGAACACAATGAATTTATAAGGACTTTTATAAAGATGAAGTGCTTTGTAGTTGAGACATCTGTAATCAAGAGTTTGCCCCAGTGAAGTGTCAGGGTATAGTGTAAGCACTGTATGAAATAAAAAAGGGAACAAACATTTAAGTACTCATCATAAGCAGTAATCCACATTTCCACCCTTAAAACACAACTGTTAGTCTTCAGCAAAGTGAGTATTCAGTATTAGAAATGGATCAAAGTTTTGGATACTGACCATGAAGGCTGGTAACAACGGCTGTGTGAATTTCATTCTGAAGGTATGTAGTGGCACCTTTGAGATTGCATTGTAAAACGTGAGCTGACCTGAAAGAGGCAAAATGCAAGCTGAAAAACATGCTTAATGCTGCTGCTGTCTAACTTTCTGCAAGTTTGGTACTTTTCCAGGAAAACACCTAATTATTCCAGGAATAATTTTCCTGGAACAGAATTAGTTTATTCTACGACTGACGATTTCTCAGCAGCTGTGTCTTCATAGATGAACTTAGGCCATTTGACATTATAAGCATTATTGCACAAACAGCTCTGTCTCTTTTTGTAAGAGATTCAATCAGAAGCATCAGGAATGTACAACTTTGCCTTGCATTGCTTCAGCTAGATACCATTATTAAATAAGCTTTTTAGCTCAATTTAATAGAATTGTAGCTTACCTCCATCAAAGTTGCAGTATACTCCTAATCTGTCTGGAGCAGGTATATCCAGTGTCTTGGTCTTATTATTGTGTTTTGCTGCAAATGTGTTTTGCATCCAGTTGTTGACATGGACGCACCAGCTTACGTTAGTCTTTCCCAGCTGATCGTATTTCCCCAGAGTTTTATACGCCACACCCACACTGTAGGATTTGCAGTCCTTCTGTGCTCTCACTTCCCAGTAGTGCTGCCCACTTTCAATAGCATTGTTTCCTATTAAAAAAAAAAAACCAAACATTTAGTTGCTATATTCGTATCTTATTTTTACTTCCTTACAGGCATCAGTTAGGTTTCCCCTATTTTAGCTTCTTTACAGCAAAGACTTTGAAACAGAAAAATCTGAACTACTAATAACAACAACAACAAAAAAATGTATAAGTAGATAAGAAATATAAAGCAGAAAAAGGAGACTTACATCCACTGAGACAAGATACATTTAACATTAACTCATGTTGAAAAGCTGTGAATGCCAGTCACTAAGAGTTTTGCAACAGAGGACTTCGAAAGACCTGAGGTCACTCGGTATAGCTCAAAATTCTGGTGCTAACCAGCAAGACTACCCCTGTGTGGGGCAGCATCAAGTACACAGCTTTGAATGAGCTCAGATTTATCCTCAGATTCTTATCTAAACTGACTTCAAAGTCGTTAAAAAAAAGTTCACTTTACCTAACACGGTGTACGATTCACCAGCAAAACGATCTCTGCTGCCCTTCACCATGGCCTTTCCACCAATAGATGTCTTCTTTGGAGATGCACCACTTCTAAGAAAAGAACCGTTCAAGATTTGCACACTACTACAGCAATACACATCAAAACAAGTCTTCCAAGGCAAGAGCCAATTACAAAAAACATACACAAGCTACTGAAATGGCAGAGTCACATTCAGCCACTAGCAACACAAATCTAATAGTCAGCTAGTACACATGCACAAAAGCTGAGATGGAAAACATGACAAGGAAAAAAAAATATCAAGATGTAACAAGTTTAGAGAAAGGAAACAAATGGAAAAAAGTAGATGTGTGGCACACAGACTTCTACATACACCAGTATTCTGCCTGGAATACTCAGAACTTTGGACTGCTTATTTTTTGCATAAGACTTCTAATAAACCACATAAATCAGCTACAACAGTTGAGTGTGAATGCACTACTGATACTTGACGCAGAGATACCTAAATTTCAGTATCAGTGAACGGAGAAAATAACCAGTCTTATCTTAAAGACAGGTTTTTCAGTATACATATTGCTTGGATAAACTGAAAGAAATCCCAAGAAAGAGTGTAACCCAATGAAGAACCACAAAAGGAATAAAACAATAACTGTAATTTCAAAAAACACACAAACTAAAGATGATACAAAAGCCAGGAATATCAAATCTAAGCAGAATTAAAAGAGATTAAGCAAGGCTTCCAGAGTTTAATGTAGCACAACTCTCCTCAAAAAATTAAATATCAAAAATACATGTAGAACAAGGGGGAATTTTGTTTATTTACTAAGTCTTTCAAAGCACACACAAAATTAAGCTGTGCCGTAACACACTGTGCTGAGGAGCACGCAGCAACACCATAGGAATCTTTACAAAATTTAAGAGTCTAATCCTAATCAAGAAAGGCTTTGCTTTTGATCAAGTATGACCAGAAAATCTCCCTTACGAATTAATAACAAAATCAATGCAGAAAACTGTGTACTGGAGAACATATTAGTGAGCAACCAGTTGTTTTAGAGAATAATTTTTAACCCATGAGGTTTCCTAATGTTCCCAAACATTTTCTTTTACCTTTGTTATCCTTTCAAAAATATAATTCCTAAAAATTTAATTGTTAAACAAAATGGAAGCTATTAGTGAACTACAGTGAACATTAAACCTTGGTAATCAGACAATCATGTTGGGTCTTATTTTAAAAGTAATTAGCAGCAAAAACATTTAACTTCTCAGAAGCAGCTATGTAGCTTACAGCTTTAACTTCACTGACAAAACTTGAACAATACAGAAAGCATGTTACTTCTGACACATTTCAGGGAGATTTCCAAATCCACAACCCCCAGAGTCTAGCATGAGCTTATATACAAAAAAGGATGTTTTCCCTTTAACTTTCAAGTTCAGCTACAGTTTGGTAATGCTAATTGTACTAGGTACACTGTACTAGGACAAGTACAGTGAAATTGAGCTTGTTACTGCTCTGACTCATTCTACACTATTCTCTACTTTCTGGAATTGTTCTCAAACACCATTTCATTAGGGGTAGGAAAATGCCCCTTTTGCCTAGTATCACAGTTAAAATAAAGTCAGGTGGCAATGAAAAGCTGATTGGCATTAAACTATCATATAAAAACATGCAAGAATATCTTGTTCATCTTCACTTATTTTGATCTAGTCAAGGAAGCCTTCAAGAAATCATTGCTCTCAAACTGATGATTATTTTTAGCATCACAACCTAGCATATAAATTAGTAATACTGATCAGAAACTAGCCAACCTTCTAACTTGCTTGCAAGAACTATATGAACCAGGTGAGTAGCATGCAGTAAATCCAAACCACATCAAAAGCTTTTCAATGTTATTAAAATGAAAACTTGTCGTTTACTTACCAAAGAAAAAAAGAAACAAGCAGTTGCATAAAAACAAAACAAAACAAAGCAAAACCAAGAATTAAAGCATAATTTCAGGGAAAACACTGCAGAATCCATCCTGCTTTAGATAGGCCATTCATTTGCATACCCAACAAAAGCCACTGCAATTTTTCTGTAAGATTAGGTATAACGGAGTTAGGCAGAAAGCAAGTGTGGCCACTTAGAGAATGACTCCAAGAAAAGCAGGTACTTTGCTAGAATTTTGTGAAAGTCAGGAATGCATTAAAAAGTCTTCAGCATAATTTCTTTCAGATCTTCTTTAAATGGCCACCTGCACAGGCATTCTCAACTAAGTGTAACAGCCTTTACCAGTTCAGACGATGGCATTCAGTATTAAGCATGAAAGTTTTAAAAAAATATTGAAAGTTGTTTTTAAGTGCTTACTTCTCCCTTCAGAAATGGAAAGGCAGGAAATTTTATAGCAGTAAGCCAGTTTGGTGACCTCTTTCTAATGCAGCACAGATTTTATTAGCTAATAAAGTAACTGATGTATTTCTTCCACTCTTCTATAACAAAATCATAGTCTTATGACTATGATTGTTATCCGTAGTACAGCAGTTAACCTTAGTTTTTGTTTTCTTTGGTGAAAAAATATGACTTTGAGCAACATTCATTCTCTTTTGGAGAAGACTAAGGATAGATATCAGAAGTTACAGAATGGCTTAAGTTTGAAGGGACCTAAAGACCACCTATTTCCAACTCCATCATAAGCGAGGATGCCTTTCTCTAGATCAGATTGCACAAAAACCCTTCCAGTCTGGTCCAAGACATTAATACAGTCTTACAGATGTGTTACAGAGCATTAAGAACCTTACGGCCATCATGTCCTTCCAACCCTTAGAAGATGTCTATTTGCCATGTGAAACAATTATTACCACAGCCTTTTCACCAACCATGGAGTTAGCTTCAAATTTTATACCCTCTAATACAGACTAATTTTGCACTGGTACTTTTAGACAGGGAAGAAAAGCCTCCTGTATGAATCAAAGATCCTAAATCTCCTGCAAGAAAAGGTGAGCTTGAGACACAGTTGAACATGACCATATCCCACCAAACGAAAAGCAAAAACTAGGGAAGCTCTTCACTGATAGCTACAAAAACAAGAGACAAGACTCCCAAAGTTCATAGAGCAAGAAGTCAATCCCTGAAGCAGGCTTAAGACCTAGTTCAGCAGAAATTGATAGCTTCCTGTTGCAGAACTATAGGCAGAGCTTGTTTCACCTACACAAATTTTTCAGTACTGCTCATGTCAAACAAAAACATATCCTCCTGATGGATAGCACAGAAGAGTAATATCTATGTGAAATTAAGACCTAAAGCATTTGCTTTGATCCCACAACTACTAAACCAGTGAAAAAGTACAAGAGAGCAAAAAAAGTAATTTCTCAAATAGGAGTTCTAATAGACAATCATAACAGAAGTTCTAACTGAAAACACAGTTATACAAGGAATAATGGAATATTTTGACAGCCTTTTCATAACAAAAATGATGCTTTCTCATTTGAAAAGTTCATTCGGTAGGTAGAACTGCCATTAATTTTTTTTTTTTTTTTTTACACATAACATCAGGTTAATCTCTGTGATCTTGGAAGACATGAAAACATGTTTTTCCTGATCCAAAACAACTACTATACAAGTTCAGAAGCAAAAAATAGCTGGATTCAAAAATAAGAACTAAAAATATCAAGTTACTTTAAAATTCTCAGAAATGATCAATAAGTGCAGTTGGAAGAATCACCATTAAGTCACCACGCGGCAGAAGCTTAAAAATATATATTATGGATATATACAGGTTACGTGTAGATGAAATATCTATCTGTAAATAACAGGGGTTTTTGTATAAACTCTAGAAGGCACAATTCTACTGCAAATCACACATCCTGCACACCAGGAGGTACTCTTATAGGACTAGTTTCCAGTCACTAGAAAACATGCACAATCTGTAAATACACAGTCAAATTCTTAAGAATTTTATAGAGCACACATAAGCTGTTACTGATAAAGGCTATTAGATTGCTCACTACATCAAGCAAAGGGATTTAGCAAAGATTCGCAACAAAACTAGATGTTAGATCCTAAGAATGAGGTATATTATCACCTTTTACTGCTCTTCAGCACAGTATTCTGGCCACTGTCAGACAGAAGTATTCATTAAACAACTGTTCCATTATTACAATAAATTGTCCACATTTTTAAAATAGCACTATTATCATACTTCTGGCAGTATATGCCTATAGGGAACATATTGGTTCCTGTATTATTTCAAGCAGTGCTAACTATGCTTTGAAGTTCCAGTCGAAAAATTTGAGGAAAAATTAACCAGCTCTGTGGGCAACAGAAAAGTGACGGACACCATTCACACCTTTACTTTAGCAAGACTACTGACCTACTTTCACTTTTCACATATTCAATGGTGGGATATGGGATATGGACTGTGAAGTGGGCTAGAAGCTATGGAGAGTATCACTTGACCACCATGCTCACTGCTGGGGATGTGGTTTTCCAGGTGGAAGAATCCCACCCAATAGGAAAGATTGGGGGACTGCTGAATGAAGAGCAATTCTGCAGAAAAACAGGTAGGAGTCCTGGTGGACAAGTCTGCAACATGCCCTTGTGGCAGATTTGGCCAACCACATTTGTGCATGTAACAACAAGCCAACCTCCAGGAGGCCAAAACATTTTAAGAAAAGGTATGTTCTATTATCTTCCACTATCTGGTTTGTTTTATTGGTAACTTTTCCTCACCAGTAAGAGTTAAGATAAATTCAAACAACAATTATAGTACCAATTTCATTCTTAACTTCGGCTTCCCAAAAGGACACAGCAGCCAGATATTTCCTTCATTATTTTTACAGTAGAAAACCTGTCTGTTTACAAGTATTGATCTGCAAAATTATTGGACACAATTCTGGAGCTGAATACCAATTATTTCCCAACATTTACTTCATCTTATTTTAGAACTTCGATTGACGCCTTGGCAAATTTATTTTGCCAAGACTTACATTCAACTTAATATTTTATACATTTATGACTGATTCCAGAAATAGCCTCTACATCTGTTACAGGAGAGGAGAAACAAAGAATGAACATTCCTTGCAGAGAAAAAATTGAGTGAAAATTCTTTTCACGTTCCACTGTTGTACCATCAATTTAATTTCTCCCCACTCTCCCTTTTTAATTGCCAGATAATGCATTTCAGACAATAAATATATCTACAGAGTTCTTACCTGCTTTTATTTTCTTTCCCTTTTACTTTTTCTTGGCCTTTACCTCCAGTAGGTTCCCATTCAACATAGGAATCTTCAACTTTTAAGTTCAGATGAGATGAAGTATTGTCCAAATCAAACACAAATGCTAGTCAAAACAAAATGTGAAACAGTGAAGAAGCACCTTAAAGAACAATAATCTACCTTTAGTGTCTAAGTTATATTGAAATATTTTTTCATCTTCATAATGCTGCAGTGTTACTAATTAAATTCAACTGGCTCTTTCTGCTAGCCTACTTAGACTCTTACAGTTACAATTGGTTTAAAAAGCCATTCTCATTCTTATGCACCACAGCACTGATTCTCCAATGAGGTATTTGTGATTAATAAGGACTACAGTCGTGTAGGATAAAACGTAAGAGTTGAAATGCAAAGTCCATTACAGATATGAAAACAGAGGATGCATGAAACTAGAAGAGACCTGGCATTTGCTAAAGTCAACTTCTCCATCCCAAGAAAAGGAAATGAAAACAGCATGCTGAATCCCCTAGAGATAGTTATAAATAAACTGTTCTGTGAGTCCTAATACAATCAGCTATTATAGACTGATGCTGGAAGTATACTCGAGACTTTACGATTTTATGTGTGCTCAACAGCACACATCTTAAAAAAAAAAAAACAACCAAGCATGTGCATGCAGAAATTTAGTTTCTGTGGGCTAATTACTGAAGAAAGTAAATTAGATGCAGTGTTAAGGTAGAAAAATACCATAGATAGTCTAAAAACCAGAATTCTGTTTCTGGTACTGGATTAAGGAATGTAAGTAACTAAAGTATTTAAATATTAAAAATATGAACACGCTACAATGACCGTTGCTTAGAAGCATTAAAATGGTTATAAAAAAAGTATGCACACTGCTTCATTCAAGTTGCATATAACTTTGTTTTTATTCAGTGCTTACAAGTAACATAATTTATATCTTAATGGTCTATGAACAATTGTCTGTCTATTGTTTGTATCAGCAATTTTGTCCATTATAGTACAGAACTTGCACTAGTTTGAGTATCAGAATCATTATTTCCACCAGAACAACTAAGAATTGCATTCTGTTACAGAACATCACTGCCAGGGAATTATTCTTCTAGTTTATTGGAAAACATTGTCAAGGATTCATCAGTTTCAGATTACCTCAATTTAGATCTGCTTGTTTTTTTGAATAATTACCACGATTAGAATCTAGAGCTACAAAACTAAAATATCCATAAAGACTATAAGAGGCCAGGAGCACCCCTTCTGCTAAGACAGGCTGAGTCAGTGGACTTGTTCAATCTGGAGAAGTTTCCAGCAAGATCTCATTGCATCACTTAAAGGGAGCTTACAAACAGGAGGGAGACTGACTTTTTCACAGGCAAACTGGGGGAATGGCTTTAAACTAAAAGAGGAGAGATTTGCGTTAGATGCTGACAAATAAATTATTTACTAAGAGGATGGTGAGGCCTTGGCATAGCTGCCCAGAGAAGCTGTGGGTGCTTCATCCATGTAGCCACTCAAGGCCAGGCTGGATGGAGTCTTGGGCAGCCTCTTCTGATAAGGGGCAATCCTGATCTTTGCAAGGAATTTGGAACTGGGTGCATTTTAAGGTCCCTTCCAACCATTCAATGCTTCTTACAATATAAGACAAGGTTAGAGTCTTCCATATTTTACCTTTTGTTTCCAGAGTCACAGGATCTGAGTATTCCCCAGCCACAGCTTTGTTGCAAGCTCGTACTCTAATGTTGATATATTTTGTATCAAATTTTAGACCTAAAAAAGTAAAAAGAAAACGCAACTGAGATTAACCATTGACTACTTCACAAGACTAAGACCTATTTTATAATGCAGTCTTTCATTTATTTGAATTTGAAGAAAAAAAAAAAAAAACAAATTTATGTATCACCATGAACTCAATTTAAAAGGTGAGTTTTTATAAAACGTCATAGTCCAAATATGAGAAAGAGCTGTCACTGTTCAAAGCACCCAAGACCACAATAAAACAAATGACACTTCATTACATACAGACAAATGGATACTCTGCTAAGCTTCAAAGCAAAAGTTACATCAATACTCTTAGATCTTAAGTATAAACAGCCTTTACCTGATAATATATATTCAGTAGCTTTAATATAGTCTATCAGTTCCCAAGACTGTTCATCTTTTACACGAGCAAGCCCATCAAAGTTGGTTTTCCTATATTCCAGTACAAAGTGATTAACTTTGTTGTCTTCTTCAGGCATTCTCCATGATACTGTTATACAGTTATCAATGACTAGACATGCTGCCAAATCAATCACTGGAGCTTTAGGAACTGCAGGAAAACAAATACACAAATCAGCTCAAATGAGAGAACAGAGTCAACATAGTATGTTCTCCTTGTACTTATTAGAATTCAGAAACTACCTACAGCCCACTAACACTCATTTCTTCTAGGGGATAAATTCCATTATCAAAGCACAATAAATGACTATGCATAACTTTCATTTAATATGCACAACTGACATCAGAATTAACATTTACATCATATTTTACACAGATTTGGGTTTTGTTAGTAAGTTAGGTTAATCCTCTTCTGCAAGCAATAAGCATATATAAGAGCAGAGAGGAACTGAGCCCAGAGTTACGATCATATGTTTTGGGTAACATTAAAAAGCTTCATAGCTTTATTTTTCTGAGTCTTTCGATTAATACCAATTGCATCCCTCAAACATTATCACTTACTTTGCATCCATCACCACAGACAACAGTAAAATAGTTCCCACTAGCCAGCTCCCAGTTATCTAGTTCTTCCCTCTTTATCTTTTGTCTTAAAAGAAGGGGAGAGAATTCTGAAGATCTACTAAAGAAGATGCAGTAGCTTTGTTTATAAACAAAAGTCTGTTTTCATGAAATTGAAAAGCACTTAAGTCACTTGTTTGAAGTGACTTAAAGTACTTTGAAGTTTTTGAAGCACTTCTTGCTCAAAGCTTTTGGAAATGGGATCTGCAAAAGATTTTTGTTGTTTCAGCATTCACAAAAGCTTCAAAGAGGCCTGAAGTCAACATATCAAGCAGGAACATTTGAGAGAAGTACAATGCTGATGTATCCACAGGACTTGCAGAACTACAGATGTTGTAAAAAAAAAATTAAAAAAAAAATACCACACCACTTTTCATATTACTCAAAGACTTGTGCATTTTTCCACAGTTATGACCAATTAACTCAATTTCTAATTATATTTAGGTTGTCTTTGCACTATTGAATCTATTATTTCTTGAAGAGATTCTTAGCAGTGATTCCTCCCAGTAACAACTAATGACAGGCAGCATCACTTTAATTATACTGAAGTCACATTTAGAGATGTGAATGATGAATTTTACTGCCTACATACAATCAGCTTCTAGATAGAGCATCCCCACTAGAAGGAGGTCTAGTTTGCTTTATGCACATCACACCTTTCCATGTTCACTTGTTCAAATATTAAGATGCACTGCTGGTCTGTACTCTTCTCCCTTTGGTTAAGGGAAGTACACTCAACCAAGCACAGGTTTGAAATGCTTGAGAACAGCTAAGCTGCTCAGAAGAAAAAGCAAAAGTTTAAGTCTTGCTCCACCACAACACCAAGATTGTTTTCAACTTCCCACATCAGGTCACATCAGGAAATACCACCAGGTCAATTTTGCTTATAAATTTGAGCTATCAGGTTTCAGTGCCAGAGTTACTTGATAGTTACTTGATAGCTTAGCACTACAGAAAGTAGAAAGCTATATCCAGAAAACTTTCCAGCTTACAAATGAACAGCCCAAACAATATCAACTTTTTTGCATTTAAAAAGAAAAAGAAAAATTCATGCATATAAGGAGGGTCATACTAAATTGTATCTTTGCCCAGATATAAGATTATGAATGGAGTCAGATTTTAACACTCTCATCCTTTTCAAGTGTGTACAATGTGATCAGATTATCTAGATTGTTCCCTTATATGTAGAATACAAGGCAATGAGTAACAGAGTCTAAGAATACAAATTGGAATTTCAGACTAGACAGTGCTAGATAAGTATGAAAAATATTGATAATTATGCCTGCTACTATGTACTGTATCTGCAGCATAAAATATAGATGTGCAAAATGTAAACTGATGCTGCCAAGTCCTTCACGGATTTGGAATAGTGACATATAGCCCTGCCAGCAGTATTCTTGTTGATGTATTCTTAGTATGAGTCAAGGGCAAAGTGGAAAGAAAGTAGGAAAGAAATGAGTAAAATATGAAACATACACTGGAATATATCATCTAAATTTACCACCAAGCAGTTGTGATAGCATTCTGTCTCAGATGCAACAATGTTCATGTTGGCTGCTATTCATACTACCTAGAATGGTGCTTGTGTCTTGGATTTAAGATGAGAATAACACTGATAACACATCAGTTGAGCAGTGTTTATACTACAAAATTTGATTCTTATGCTTCTTTGACAGTGAGGAAGCTGCACAAGATAGTAGGAGGGGACACGGCCAGAAGAGCTGGCTTAAACTGATCAGAGGAACATTCCACACCATATGATGAAGTCTTCAGAACAGCTCCTGTTGTTCATCACATTTTAAGGTTTCTCCATCACCGTCTGTGGAGTTTGGCCTCTGCTCCCATGTAACTAGCATTAACTAGAGGAAATGGCCGCAAGTTGTGCCAGGGCATTCAGATTGGATATCAGGAAAAATTTCCTCTCACAAAGAATGGTCAGGCACAGGAAAGGGCTGCCCAGGGAGGTGGTTGAGTCACTGTTCCTGAAGGCACTCAAGAGACATTCAGATGTGGTACTAACAGACACAGGTTAGTAGGGAAATACTGGTGGTACGTAGATGTTTGGAGTAGATGATCTCGGAAGCCTTCTCCAACCTTCATGATTCTATGACTCTGTGTCAGTGTGAACAAAAAAAGCTAGAAGGAGTTGTCTTTGTTAGGGTACTGGCACAGCATCAGCCAGCTGGTGACAAGGAAATACACCTTGCACCATTTGTTTTTGTATTAATTCTTGTAGGGTTTTCTTTGTTTTCTACCCCATTCGTTTTAAACTGTTCTTACTTCAAACCATAACTTCTTGCTCATTTACATTTTTCTCAATTCTCTATCCCATACTGTTCCAGGCAAGCATAGCAAATGGCTTTATGGTGCTGAGGTACAGGCCAGTTTAAAACACAACAGAAGATTCAAAAGTTCCACTATCATAGTAGATAACCATTACCATGTATTTTATATCATATCATACGATACGATATCATATCATATTCACATAAGTAACTTAATAGATTGCAGTTCCGTGCACAATTTACTACAGGTTATTAGGACTTCAGTGCATCACCAAGCATCAAGCTACCAGGTATAGCCTTCAGAAACTTCAAGTAGCTTCATAATGTACAGAACATACAACTCAAGAAAAAAAAAACCAAAACACAAAGCCATGTGACCTGGAAGACGTATTCCCACTTCAGAAAAAACATAAATATCATTCTCAGAAGTGCCATGTTATGCAGAAATGAACAAAAAACTGGAAAACTTTTACCATCAAGATATTCTGCTTAACATCCAATTAAACACTGCTCATTAGGATGCATGAAGATTTTCTTTTTTTAATATAGTCATTTACTGAATTAGTAACAAATTAAACTCACTGCATACAGTTTTACCTGGCAAAAACTTAACAGCCTGGAGTGCATGCCTTTCGCGGGTGAAGTCCACCATCAAGTGAGTCATACTGTCACTGACCTCGGGTTTCAGAGAGATGCGAAATGCTGAAGCCATTGTGACTCTAAAGTCAGGGAAGCAGTATTAGCAAAACATGTTTTGCATTGTTTAAAGACCTATAGTCAGTTTCAGAAACAGCAATCGGATCACTTGTATTTTTAATTTCAAACTGTTAGCCAAAAAATGTTCTAAACTACTACAAAATGTTCTAGTTTCTCATAACTGCTTAGCACAGATTCCAAAATAGTCTTGATGTCTAAGACATATCAAAGCACTACTCCATTTCCCCTTCTGGAATCTTAGTTTAGACCTTATTATGAATATTCTTAGGACACCTCAGTACTACTTGGACTAGACCAAAATAAAAGAGTAAGTCTATTTTCTGGTTCTTTAATACAGAAGTCATTCAAATTCTGCCGCATGGCCTGATGACACTGATTTGAGATGGCACAAGGGTCTGTCCCTGCTGTAAAACAAGTTTAATAACAAAATAGACATCATTAGCAGATAGTCACCCAATCTACACTCACAGGTCTGATACATCTTTAGAACACCTAATGCATATCACTTCCCATGAAGTATTATGTTCTTCACTGGCATATAATAACAATTGTGTGCAAACTGCAATTACATTAAAGAATGATAAAAAAAAAAAACATTTAAATGTTAGGCAGTGAAGAAAGAAGAATAAATATGGGAGGTGCATATTAAACATACAAGCATGAGAAGATTATCGTTTGGGGAAACAGAAGGCAATTATGACAATGAAATGAGCACAGTAAAATAGACGATATCCCAAGGCACAGTTAACTTCCTGAAAGTCAGTATGGGCAGGTAACAGCCAGATTCCACTACCTGACCTGACTGTACCTGACTAAATCTCCTCTTAAGAAAAAGAAGCGTTCTGATTAGCTATAACAGAACATTAACTTAGTTTCAGACATTATAAACTTCTCTTGAAGTGCCAGTACTATAGAGACAACCTGTCACAATCGGTTTAAAGGCAAGGCTGCAGAGCATTTCAAGAAAACAGAAATGATAAGAGGATACCTTCTAAGTATTAATGGTGAAGTATTAATTAACTTTTAAAGAGCTAAGATACCTATCATTGCCACCATCCATCTGATTTGTTAACTACTTCAATTCTTTACCCTTGGAAAAGTGAAAATTTCTCAATCAATTATTCATTTTACATTAACATCAAGACAGTTTAGACAAGCAGATTCTCCCTTGAAAATACATAAGCTGAAAGCAAACCAATTTGGTCAGCAGGAGTAACACACATAGGTAAGACCCTGTGAGCAGTCTTACAAATCGTTACCCACAGCATAGGAAACTTTCTGAACCAGGATGTCAGACTCTCAGAGTACTATCAGCACTTTCAGCTTAAGAAAACCTTAGTATTTATTTTGAAACAGAAACATTCCATTTCTAAGCAGTAGTTTCAAGACACGGCACAATGAAAACCCAGTAGAAATAGCAAATTTAAAACAGTTCAATGATATCATCAGAAATACTTGAAGTTAGCTAGCAAAAGTCTCTAAGAGGTAATTAATCAAGACTTAATCACAATTTAAAGGAGCAGAGTCAGCTTGAAATATTATTCAATCTCACCCACCAGCTACTAAAACAAACAGAAGTTTTGCAGTAGAGACATGTTTCCCTGTGTTAAAAACATCTCTTTTTATCATGGGATGAAAGGTCTGGAACCAGCAAGAAACACTGAAGAGGAAAAAAGTTTTAGTTCTCTTTCATAAGTTGTGACGTCATGAGGAACACTTAAGAAAGCAGAATCCATGAATTTGATTCAAGCTGACTATGTTCCTTAAAAATAAATGCATTTTCAAGGACAAAACTAATTCAAAGAGACAAAAAGTGTAGGCTTTGTACTGTACCTATCTTTGATCTGTCTGGCAGCCTTGGGGCACATCAGGGAGAAGAGAGAGAAGGTAGTTAGCATTTTCATGCAAGTCTCAAAGGCAGTACCATGCAAGAAGACAGAACAATCTCAGTTCTATGCTCAGGTTTGAGAATCAAAACAGGTTCAACATTTGCATTAAAAAAAATTCCATAAAGCATGTTAATAGTGTTAGTTAGAATTGCAACAACATATATTACCTGGAAACAAATCAGTCTCAAAAACCACAGAAAACCAGCTCCAACTTCCTGTCCATAATTTTGTCCCTGCATTTCTCTGTTAAGTTACCCTCCATCATATTTCAAAAGAGCCCCATGAATAAGTTGGTAAAGCTTAATGATTGTTATTCTCATTTAAATTGCTAAGTGTTTAGTGGCATTCAGCCATACTTGACTTATCTATGTTGTACATTCACACAAAAAATAGGACTAACATGTTCCCTTTGAAAGTCACTGCGCTACTCCAACACCACTTCCTAAAAGGCAGTCACTGTATGTCAAAATCCCAAAATACAAAACACAGCTTTTCCTCAGCATTTAAGCAATAACAATGAAGAAGGTGCAGAACCAATGTCATATTTCAAAGACAAATCTTAACCAGCATTTGGAAAAAAAAATCCCAGTCCCCCACCAGGAGGAACTGAAAACATTATTGTAGAAGTCTTAGTGATGGCTTAGTGAGAATTGCTGACTCACTGTTTGGAGTTAACACTGCTACTAAGGTAGTATTCATCTTTACTACCATCCTTCCCAAAGACTATACGTAAACTTGCAAGCCAAAGAAATGAGGGACCTACAGTTTTTTTTCTAAGTATAAATGAGTGGGGAAAAAAAAAAAAAAGATCTCCCTCCTATACAAAAATAATGTTATGTTTCCAAAGCAGGAAGTAGAAAGAACAAATATTCATAAATAATTTAGCTTAAGAGATAGCTTTGTTTTATATCAAACCAAAGTTCTCATTGGAACTATTATTGATTATGTGACAGCTGTAGACAAGTCACTGTTACTTACAAACCCTTCCTCGTAATCTCTACAACTGGTGGAATATGTGGCATTCAGGATTCAGTGAACACATTTCTCTGCAAGACAGCCCTGTCTGAACTCCTTTGAATTTAGTTTCCAGACCACTGACAAAAAAGGGTTCTCAGCCAATTTCACGTTGGCTGCACAGCAGTGTCAAATCACATCCTATCCAACCACAGCACTCTTGCATGTGTTTGGTATTCATGCTCTGACCTCCACGTTACCTAATTCATTAAAAGTATTAAAAAAAAAAGTCTACACTAAAAAATACAACCTAGTCTTGAGCTAGTTTCTCTTGAATGGATTTATTGCAGGATCCGAAAAAACACCAATTAAAAAAGGTATTCCAGTTAATAGTCCAGTAGATTTAACTAGCTAATAGTCAATTCAGTATTACTATGCCTGAAACACCTGAGACATTGTTAAGTTCAAGCTACTGTAAAAAGATTCTGAATGTTGTGAGCTCAGTGAACTGGGCTCCTGTTAATCCTCTTAAGCCTCAAACTCCAAATTTAAAGACCTTTTCTCCTAAACATCCAATAACTTGCCTTTGCATATTTGATTGGAAAAAAAAAAAAAAAAAAACCAGTACAGATTATCTGTAAACAAACAACCTAGAGAGAATTCAAAGCTACATTCTACATGCTGATCAAGAGTTAACAATCTCTGTACATCACTACAAGTCAGAAAAGACAACCCAAATTGAACGGCTAGGAAAGACATTTAGTTTAGGAATTGCTACTTTTCAAGGCAAATTAATCAAAACTGACATTCAAAGCAAGACAGCACACATGTTGCCAAGAGGTCTAAAAGGCATTGTAAGACAGCCTTCCTGTCCAATCCTTTGTTCCTGTTCCCATTAAAAGATAGAAAGACAAAGTAACTTGGTCATGGATTCGGTGGGGCTGAGCCTGCTATTATTGTGAGAATTATTAAAGCAAGTTACATTAGAGAACCTATTGTACTGGATCAGTGTATAGCTAGAACAGTTTAACTCGTCTGTAAACATATCCTTCTTCCAGCTAGGCGTATGTTGGCTCTCATTTGTAAGTGTGCTGAGATAAAGCTTGCATTTTTTGTATTAGAATCGCAGTGCAAGGCCCAGATCTGGCTCCAGCCTTCACAGCATACAAATACATTAGCAAGTTCTGGGAAATATACAAAAAGCTGTCCTGAATTCAGTTTCATGAGATCTTTCAGAAAAGCCGAAGGGTTCAGATCATAAATATGAGTTCCGTGGTCTTAAGGGCTGATTATCACAAGGTTTCATCAATACTGATTTGCTGAACTTGTTAGCTATCTACAAAAAGACTTTCCTTTTCCTTCCTCCTCACACTAAATAAGACAGCATCTATTTTAGTAGAGATTGCATGTTGTAGCAGTTCTGATGGACCGATTTAGAAAGGCCTCACAGCTGTGTGCATAAGGTCTCAAACTCTTTTAATACTTAAGTATCATTAAGTGATACTGATACTAGAATAATATAAAGACAACTGTGACAGGTTAACTGTACTTATACAGGAACTAAGTGGAGGCTCTGCAACTTCTTTTTGCCCGATCATCAGCATCACACATCTGCAATAGAGCAACAAAAGTCCCAAAGTTGAGTCCACCATGGCCCATGTTAAAAGCTTTACTACAGATGTTCAGGTTTACCCTGTACTTTCAATGTAGATACTAAAGCTCCAAAGAACTGCCTGAAGATTTGCAGTTGTATTGCAAGCCCCTGCTAATTAATCTGGAAAAGTTACTGGACTTTATTCATATAGTTCTGTGAGCACTCTCAGATGATCACATCTGAGCTTGACCACAAGCTAAATTTCTTTGAACACCACATCTTAAAAGGCCAGCTTGACAAAAGCAAGTTAAAACTCAATACTACAGGCTAAACAACACAGTTAGTACTCTGCTGAGTCCACTACCACAACACAGAAGCTACTAGAAATTAATCCAAACACCAGCACCTGCCTAACATACATCCATTTAACATTTTCTACCTCTGAGAATTCCACAGGGTCCTTTATGTCCAGCGACTGCGCAGCAAGTTCCAGCAGCTCTTCAGAACTCTCCAGGGCACTACTACACTGGCTAAGCTGATTCTGAAGAAAAAAGAATATCTTTATGCATTCGTACTTAAAAAGTTATTTGCTATTTGTTACAGCTACATGGCTTTGCTATGCCTCTTTAATTACTTATAAGGTTACCTTAGTTAGTCAGTTGACATACAGTGAGTTTTAACTAGAACTTCACTGTGCTTAACACATGCACAGTGGTATAGAGCACATTCCACAAACCCAAAAGGGGAATAGAGCTGAACTGGTTTATAAAAGGCAGATTTGACTTTTAAGACATGTTTCTCACAACACTAGGTTTACAAAAGCTATGAAATGCCAAAGTCCATGTACGCTCTTATTTCTACCTTCAAAATTGTCCTTCATCAATGAACTTGTAGCTGTAAGGCATTTTATTCCTATCCTGCTCTAATTGGCATAAGTATCTTAAAAAGAAGCACTACAGTATAATGAATGATGGCAAGGAAAGAGGAACCGAGAAAGAAGAGCAATAAGAAACTTTTTTGAGGATCAATTGACAATTACCATTAATAAACTACCATTTCCAGTAAATTAAGTAGTCCATAAGGAACCTCTAACATAACTATGGATATACCCTCCAAGCAGATTAATTACAGACACTCCACAGGACTGTAAACAAAACGCAGGTCAAACAACATGCACATTTTACACCTGGCAGCAGCTTTTCTACAGCCATTCCACATGTCTTTCTATCCATGTAATAATACACTGTAATAAAACAATTTAATAGCAAGTAGCATTTTCATAGAACAGCTTGGGATGGAAGTAACATTAAAACCTACCCAGTCCCAATTCCTGCTGTGAGTAGGGTTGCCACCCACTGGATTAGGCTGTCCAAGGCTGCACCCGACCTGGTCTTAAACACATCCAGGAACAGGGCATCCACAGTTTCTCTGGGCAGCACGTTGCAGTGCTTTACCACTCTGAGTACAGAATTTCCCCCTGACAACTAAGCCAAACCTGCCCTCTTTCAGTTTAAAACTATTTTCTTTGTCCTATCACTAACAGACTTTGTATAAAGTCAGTCTCCTTTTGAGTGCCCCTCAAGTACTAGAAAGCGTTCTCTTCTCCAGGCTGAACAAGCCCAGCTCCCTCAGCCTGTCTTTGCAGGAGAGGTGCTCCAGCCCTTTCAGCATCTTTGTCACCCTTCTCTGGACCCACACCAACAGCTTCACATCTTTCTTGTGCAGAGGGCTCCAGACCTGGACATGGTACTGCAGATGGGGCTTCACAAGAGCAGAGCAGAGGGTGACAATTACTTCTCACCCTGCTAGTTGTCCATCTTTTGATGCAGCCCAGAGTAAAATTAGCCATCCAGGCTGCAAGCACACACTGCTGGCTAGTGTCCAGCCTTCCATCCACCAGAATGTGCAGATCCTTTTCCCCAGGGCTGCTCTCAAGGAGTTCTTCTTCAGTCTGTATATATAACTGGGATTGTCCTGACGCAAATACAACTTGCACTTGGCCTTGTTGAACCTCATTAGGTTCACGTGGATCCACTTTTCAAAGAGATGGCATCCCTTCCTTCTGTCCTATCAATTGCACCACTTGGCTTGGTGTCATCTGCAAATCTGCTGAAGGTGCAGTAATCCCACTGTCTCTGTCCTTAATGTTGATGATGTTGAAGAGCACTGCTCCCAGGACAAACTTCTGGAGGACACCACTCAACACTGGCCTCAACCCGGACACAGAGCCATTGACTCTGGCTGTAATCGTCCAACACGTTAGCATTAATAAAGTACACTGCCCTAAAAAAAAAAATTATCTTTAAAGCAAGGAATAAGAGTAATTTCTGGACTTTCGGCACTAACATCCAAGAAAATTTGTGAAACCAGTTTAAAAATGAAATCGTCAGCCTTTTAAACTGCTGTGCAAGACCAATATAAATGTTTCAGGACAAATTAAGAAAGTCCCTTAAGTTCTCTTAAATATGAAATTTAGACCACACTGAAAGCTTTTGATTTCCTCATACAAAGTTTAATCCCAATCAATGGTAATGGTTTAGATTGATGCGTTCAACACAACGGTTTTTGTCAGTTTGGTTTAATAGGTTCATTGTTAGGAAAAAGCACTCTTGCTGTGCACCTTAGAGGAATTTTGATCTGTCATCAAGAGAACATCCTTTAGACCAAAAAGTTAGATAACAGCCAAAGCTGAAAGATAAATAAGTGATCTAACGACCATGTCAGTTATCTGCAACACTGTATTTGTTTTCATCCTCATCCAATGCAAATAGTAGCTCCCCTGTTCAACACATACCAGGCAGTAACAAGCTTTTAGAATGCGTTTAAATCATACCATTCAATCAAATTAGATTAAGCTCCAGAAAATTAACAGATATTAACAGAAAGTTTCTCAGTAAAGTCAGACAGCTTGCCGACTACCATCTGACTACCGAAATAGCTTTCCCCTCCAGAAGTGTTACAAGATGAACCTCAGCTTTCACTAACTATATATATGGTAGAATAAACTTTGTAAGCAGCAGCTGAATTCCTCCTAGAAGTTATTCACTGAGAAGTACTAAATACTTAAAGTTTGAGAAAATTAGAAGCACGTGACCACCATCTGTTGAGGATGTTCAGAAGGTCTTAAAGCAGACATGAAGAGAAAAACAAAACTGGACATGGGAAAGCAAAACTTGAGATACATACCCAAAAATTCTGAAATGCTTTATCCTCCTACTTAAAGACTGGTGTAAAGCAGACATTGTGGAATTTGCATTAAACAATTCCTTGAGCTTCTTTAAAGTTATGAAATAAAGGCTCTTTTTTTTCCTTAATGCCATGTATAAGCAAATAAGGAAAAAGATTTAAGAGGCAAAAGAAGAATACAAGTTAGATCATGTAAAAAAAAAAAAAAAAAAGCTAAAAAACCAGCTTCTGTTTATAGGATTAATTATCATACATATCCCCATGTAGCTACGCTTTCTGACAGCTAGTGCTAACTGGCTACTCTCTACTGTAAATACATGGATTTTATGCCTATTTCAAGAAGCTGCATTTTCACTTCTGTATCTCTGAAGTTCATTGCAAAGATTCTCCTGCACTAAATCATACAATCATAAAACTGTGAAACGTACTTAACAAATTAAACTGGTGCCCTCTACTAAACATGTTCCTATGCAACTCTCATACGTTTTCCATACAAATTGAAATAAAAAGGTCAAAAAAAAATCACATCAGGCATTAAACAGATTCATATTCCTATATGGAGAAACAAAGCAATCTCTGTCCAGAAGCTGTTCATTAGCTCGAAAACAGAAAGTATATGTCCTGCTCCTATGGAGCCTTTCTTCACATGTAAGTTACGCATTATACCACTTCCTTGATATACAGTAACACCCAGAACATAGACTGGAGACCAGAAGAGGCCAGAGAGACACAAAGACATTTACCTTGCAGTTGCTCCATTTCTTGCAACACTGTCAAAAATCTCATTTTCAGGTAAGGCTTTAAATAACAGTTTAAAATTTCTTGTACCCAGTTGCAAAGAATCTCAGAGACGTTTTACACTTACCTGAAGAGCTTGAATTTTACGAGCCTGTTCCTGCTGAATAGTGCCAGCCATACTCCCCTTCATCTCATCCAATACAGAATACAGAGCATCAAATTCATCATCCAATTCACTAATCACATTAGAAGAATTTATCTGAGAAGAGAATTGAAAACAGCTGCAATCTCTAATGGAAGCAATGCTGATTTCCTTGTCTTCTAGACTGAAAATCATGTGGTTTGCCTAAACACACTTTGCCATGACTACAATATACCTTCTTATCATTCCTCACTTTATCACTAAATATTAAAGGAGGGCCCCCTTTCAGGCAGACATAACATCACCAAGCTGAAGACTAAAATTCACAAAAACTCTAATACTCAAACTTGCACAGAACCAACATTTGGCAACTGTATTCTGTGTCTAAAAGCATAGAATTCACCCCCCTCTCACCATTATGTATTAGCTCTCAGACGTTTGTAAACAGGATATTAGACAGTTCCATTTCATTTGACACTAAACTGCACTCAGAAAGCCATCTTAAAGATTTGCTGGAAAACTTCACTTTCTGAATTCAATTTGGCTCAGTTTTAGCAAGAAACAGCCACTTATTGACAGATAAGAGAAACCTTAACCTCAGCTGAGAGGTAAATGGTTTAAAAGTTAGGTTTAACAGTTAACTTTAACCCAACAATTTGCAAATACTAACTATGGAAAGTGCAAAGAATTCTCAAGCGTTTAGATGGTCTCATTTTTCAGTCTGCCAACAGAAGTCTAAAATAGCAGACAACTTGCAACTAACATGAATCCGAGGTCACACATCAAAATCAGACACTCTCTTCCAAACAAATCAAAACCCCAGACTGCTTTCTGCAAGAAAACCAAAACCGCTACACCTTCCAAGCTGAGGCAGAACTTTGGAAATGAAATGTTTTCCTACTTGGTTCCAACATGAAGTTATATTTTACACTTGATTTTTATTGCCCACCCCTTACACACTGCACAACCAGTCTAAGGCTGACAAAACCTGATAAGCAGCTCCTCCCACCACATAGAGGCTACGAATCCTAACAAACACACCTGAACATTTTGTATTGTTTGGTTCAGCATGCCAATGAAGTTGTGAATTTCATCATTTTTGTTTGCAAGAGTAGAGATGATCCTTTGCAGAGTCTCCTGGAATTACAAAGACAAGTAAGAAATGATCAGAAGGTCCTTTTGCAGCTTAGCATTTCAACACATGAATTAATAAGAATTCACCATGCATGTTCTAACTGTAAATTCAACTCTTCTGATACAAGACCACTGTTGCAAGTTTATAATACAATACTACAAGACCACAATAAATGTTTTGTAACGGAAAAAAAGATTAATGACCTAAGAGGCATTTTATTAAATTAAATAACTTCAATTATACTGAAGATCCCAAATCATCTGAACAGCCAGGCTACTTACTGTCACCACACTGCCCTGCATAACTTCTCTAGAAGACTTTGCAAAGCAAATGAGAGAGAAGCAATAAAGAAAATAAAGCAGTTGAAAAGAAAAATTAACATTATCTGCTATATAAAAAATAAATAAATAACCAAGCTAACAGCTTATCCTATGTGATCAGCAGAGTAAAGTTAGTAGGTTAGTAGCTATTTGTAAGCTTATTTCTGCAGTTAGTGAAATATTTTGGTAAATGCTTTGTGTACTCTGATTAAGAGCAACCTCAAAGACAAAAGCTCGGTGACAACTGGGAAGGTTCTCTGTGATACACTGCTGCCAGCCATTAAAAAGCAGAAGATTAAATTTGCAAAATACGTACTCAGTATGAAAAATTGCTGAGCACGTGGGTTTTTTTTAATTATAACAGACTACAAGCTTAATTTTAACAAGTCACCCTCGTATCTGAAGACTTTTATTAGTCATCAAGAATAGGTACTTAAAACTCAGCCTTATTGTAAAGTTCGAGTTCTGAACAAATCAGAATACCAAATAAATCAGTTCTTGAAACACATCTGAATCTACAGAGCTTGTTTATGCCACTTGTTAAAAAAGTGAAAGCTCTAATTAGGATTTATTTATTTATTTATTTAGACTCAGTTTCGAGTTGCTATGCTTAACATTGCTACTTGACAACACAGGAAATCAAGGCAGATGGAGGAGCTTGTAAGCCAGTTTTTGAGGTGTGCAACCTAAAAGATGTCACAGAGGTCATTATCTCAATTTCCACCTCCATCCCCATAAGCAAGTTCTTAGCTCTTTACTAAAGACCTCATGTCTGCTAAAAAGTAGAAGTTTTTTATCCTTTGACAGCATCTACTTCTACAGTGAACCCTGCTGTCACCTTGCCTTTAAGAAACCTTTCCAATATTCCCAAGCCCATTTTTTTCCCCGATCCTCTTCCTTACAAGTTTAGTTTAAAGAATCCTCTATGATGCATTTACTGTGGCCCACTGCCTGTTTGCACAATGTCATGCTTTATCAGAGGAAAGTAAGAGTTCTGCTGCCTTACACAACACTATCACAATGCAAGCTGTAAAAGACATAATGCAACTGCAAGCAATGCCTGGAACTCAGACCGTCAGGTGCAAAAACAAAGCCAGGTTGGTTTCTTGCAGAAACAGTGAGTGCAGCAAGTCTTCATCACTTCATTACAGAATTGCTCATTACTGGGTTAAAGTCTAACATATTTAAGACACCTTTGTGTGCAGACTGCCAGATAAATGCAATCATCCAACCAGCTGCTGCTACATTCATTACCAACCAGAAGCAATTGTTTTTGCATGTCAGCCCACAGTTAAGCCTTAGATCCTATAAACATAACTGTCAATTTGGATGAACAAGAAAACTCCCAATCCTCTTTCAGCTGGGATTTTAGGGCTTACTCAGTCTTACCATGCAGAAAAAAATTACTCTTCTTGTACATAGTTCTGAACAATGCTTTTGGCTTTTATAGATGTGTGTGACTAAAAGAAAAGATCTATGCTTGAAGAAAGCCTGGTAATCCTTTAAACAATTGATCTAAAGTACAGCAGCAAATCTAAGCAAACTAGCAAACAAGGTTTTCTATACCTGAAGTTACAGCGACCAATCAATCAGTACGTAACTTTTTAAATAAACCACAAATTTCTCCAAACAAATTCCACCCAGTATGATGAAACTTGAAGAGTAACACACCTTCTGCAAACACAGATGTAAGAGGCCTAAAAATACATTACAGTGTACTTTTCTTAACCACCTGAGGCAGGTTAACCTTGGCAAGTGGTTAGGTGCTCGCCAAGACACTCATCCACTCCCTTTGCTTAGCAGGGCAAGGTGACAAAACGAGGTGAAGAAGCATGTGGGTTAAATCATGGACAAAGAGATCATTTACCAGTTGCCACCATGGGCAAAACAGACTCAGCTTGAGAAAGTATAATGTAAATTATACAGATTATTGCCAATCTGGATAACAGATTAGGAAAAGGAAACATTCCTTCACACAGGCTGCTCCACCATGGGCTCTCCCATAGGTTGCAGGGAACTCCTGCCTTGGCACCTGGAACACCTCCTGACCTCCTTCTGCACTGACCTTGGTGGCTGAAGGGCTGCTTTTCTCCCATTTTTCTCACTTCTTTCACAGGAGAACCTGAACAGTGAATTTTTTTTTAATTTTTAATTTTTTTTAATTTTCTTACATGGTGCTATCACAGAAGCATTATCTGCGCTGATGATGATGACCTCCACGCAGCCAGCAATGGGCACATTTTGGAGCCAACTGGAATTGCTCTTGTTTGACACAAGGACAGCCCTGGTCTATTCTCAAAGGCCACCCCTGCAGCCTCTCTGCTACCAAAACTTTACCACCACATTGATCCAATATACCACCAATGCACAAGCCACTAGAACAAAGTCAGCTTTTAATCACTGCTAGTATCCTTTTTTTTTTTTAAACATTTATTTGATCTTGTGCCATGTGCTCATGTACGAAGGATGAAAACATAGAAGGGCATGAAAGAGGAGACGAAGCTGTGCAACATGTAGTATCTCGTAGTTTTGATGGCAGTATAAAACAACATATCCTCTGAATAACCAGTAACCGACACTGCATGACACCTGTTGAAGCAGATGCAAACCTGGCTGAAGCCGAAAAGTAAACTTCAGTGAAATTACATCAGTTCTGTTTAAATAGCAAGTTGTCAGCTTGCTCAAGATCACACTGAAGTTTTGTGACATGGCTGGATGCAAAATGGAGTTTTTAAAGCAGCCTAAATTCAGTCTCATATCAACCACGCTTCGAACAGGACACACTTCCATTGCCTCCTAACCTGCTACACTTCATCACAATGAAGTTGCCAGAGTTTGAAGACAGCAACAAATTAGCCGATGAAGTGCTGTGAAATCCGAGATGAGCTGCAACTGTACTACTGTATCCAGAGCTCTGAAATCCAAACAGGGCGAAAGGCACCAGGCACACATCCTGCAACATCCAGAACAGCCGTAGCCCCCTCAGCAGCCCCAGACTCAAACAGAGGCACTGCTTGGCAATCTCACCTTCAGAAGCACGGGTGAGTATGAAGCATCAGCACAAAAACGCTTACAGATCAGAAAGATAACACAGATCCCTAACCCGAATGATGTAAGCCACGAGTAACGCAACGCTGCTCACGAGGCAGCCTCCAAGCAGGGGAAAGCGGAGCAGCCCAAAGGCCCGCAAGCCGAAGGGCTGAGTCAGAACTTTCTGCAGAGCTCCGTATTTAGACACCCAGCTCCGGGCCAGGCACATCGCCCTGCTCCCCACTGACTCCGCCCGGCCGGCAATGCACGGCCCCAGCCCCGGACAGCGGCATCGGGCGGCAACGGCACCAGCGGGCGGCAACGCCAGCCTCCCCATCCCCTCGCACAGGCCGCCCGGGCATCCCGAGCCCTCCGCCAGCCCCAGAGTCAGCCGGAACCCCTCGGGACCCGGGGACGGCCGGCCCGGCAGCATCACTCACTTTTTGCTCCTCCATGGCAGGGGATCGCGGCAGCGCCGCACCGCGCCCCGCACAAGTAGCGCGGCCCGAACCGCCCACGGGCCGCCTGCCGCTCCCGCCCTCACGTCAGAACGGATGCGCGCATGCAAACGCTTACTCATGCGCGTTTCCCCCTGCTCCCTCCCACTCCCCGCACGCCCACTGCACGTGTGCCTCGCCAACCCGAGCATGCGCAGTTGGAGCCGGCGGCCGCGGAGCCGGGCCCTATTGCATCACTATCGAGGGTTCGAATCCCGGACACGGAGGGAGGGCGCTGAGCGGGGTTGGACGGTACTGAGATTTGCCCTCTCATACTACTGCGAAGAGTGAGGTCTGCCCACCTCGGGGAGGTCAGAGCCGCCAGCGGCAGCCCCCGCAGCACAGAGGGGTGTGGGTTCTGCTCGCCTTTGTGCCCCAGCATTATTTAGGGAGCTGGGTGTTCTGGCAGGCAGCCTTGCTTCATCTCAGAGACTGCTAATCCAATCTAAAAAAGAAAAATAGTTCCAGCAGAGTGCTCGCGGGGGAATCGTAATTTCATAATGGTGATGTTTCACAGAGCTGCTGCCTCAGAACAGCTGCTGAGTTGGAGAGCAGCTTTGCTGCGCCAGTGCAATGGAAATCCCTCACTGCTGGGAATGCTTGCTGCCTAACAGTGCAGGAATCATTTTATTCAGGTTTCCACTCTGCAATCGTGTCTGTGGTTCTTCCATCTGCCTCAAAAGGCCCACAGGGCAGCAGCCCTTGGGCAGCCAAAAAGGCTGGCATTCCACGATGCCTTTCACTATGCATGAGCCAGGACCAGGCTTCAATAAAGAAAACATGAGCAAAGTGAGGCGGTGTGATGCACCAAGAGTGCAGCTCCAGCCCCTTGGAATCATCCACAGACCTCTTGCAGCCATCTCACCTCATGCAGGCTGGGCCTTGGCTGACACTGTAGGGTTTATTGTAGGATTTATTGTTTTTACTCCAGCTATATGGTATCTCCTTTGTTCCACATAATACCCACAATCAATGCTAGCATATTTCCAGGTTGGCATGTTCTTGTGGACAGGACTTAGCTGTTTTCCAGTTCCAAACTGTTAATTTTGCAAGCATTTCTATGTTAACACTTCCCCCACTGTTTTGAAGCATTGTCATCTTTGCTAACAGCTCACAGGCCTAAAGACTCCACATAGAAATTCTAGGAAATAGCCCTCAGTTTGAAGTTTGTGTTTTCACTTTATGTGCTCATAAAACTCACAAGTAGAATCTACATGTAAAGGAAGAGGTAGAAAAATCTTGTCAGTCACTTCCTGATGAGAAGCAAGCAGTCATACACCCATAAGGAAAGCACTTACTGGTGGAACTAAGACCCCCCCACTCGCTACCCATTTCAGAACAGCCAGCTCTGTCTTGCACACTTGCTGATTTTGCTAGCCCTGAACAGAAAAAGAAATCAAACAACAGGCTTTGGTTTGAGGACACCCCAGAAATCTCTTGAATTGTTTCAGACCACCACTAGGAAGTCAGCAGCCTGCAGCTGCTAGGCTACATGGCTGGTGATGGTGAATGAGTAAGCAGAACTGAATGATGACTGAAACTGCTCAAATACAAGCCACCTGGTCATTCATTCATACATACCTATATACATACATACCTTTCCATACTGAACTAGTAACAAGCAGTTTCAAAGTCCAGAGATATTTCATCTTCTAGGTGATGGCATTCAGGATAGGAGTATTTCTTTAAAACTGCACATTCTTTCTACAGATTAAAAATCAATCAATCAATCAATCAATAACTAGAATCAGTGCTGGAGTTTTGTTTTGCTTTGTTTTTTTAAAAAAAGCAGCTGTCGGTTTTAAAATAAATGCCTACAATTTCAGGCACAGCTTCTCAAGAAGACTACAGACTTAGCATGACCAATACTCCATGAATCAAAAACAAGAGTCTTCAATGCCATTTTCCTTGAAGAGTCCAGAAACAAAACTAAGAATTTTCAGTGTCTTGGCCTGGGAGAGAAGTGGAGAGATCCAACAACACATCTTCTTACATTCTCTCTTATTACCAAACTGCAAATTCAGAGGAAGGTTCACCTTTGGAAAACAACTCTATGTTTTTATAGGTTCCTTTATCATCTTCACAAGCGCAAACTGATCAAATGGAACAACAGAATATCTGCTAAGATTTTCTGCGAAGTTGTTTGTAATCTTTGTGTGTGTGTGATCTGAGATTTTGGAAATATTTGTGAGAAAAAATGTTTCATGTTATTAGAATTGCTGTTAAGGGAACGATAATGAGATATTTGTGATTTGCACAGTAACACTAATGTATGTTATTGTATGTATATTCATCACAGAATCATCATAGAATCATCACAGAATTCTTGGAGGTGGAAGGGATCTTCAAAGGTCATTTAGTCCAGCTCCCCTGCAATGAACAGAGACATACAGATCTATAATAGCCTTGTCATCACTGGGCAACCTGTGCCAGTGCCTCACTACCCTCACTATAAAAGTCTAATAACCTATAACACTGTAAAAGACATATCTAACCTAAATCTCCCCTTTTTAACCTTGAAACCACTTCCCCTTGTTCTATCACCCCAGGCCCTGCTAAAGAGTCTGTCCCCTTCTTTCTTGTAGCTCCCCTTTAGATACTGAAAGGCTGCTACCAGATCTCCCCAAAGCCTTCTCTTCTTTGTGCTGAACAGCCTCGGCTCTGTAGAGAGGGGGATTCATCCCTTGGGTCATTTTTGTGGCCCTCCTCTGGACATGCTCCAACAGGTCCATGTCTCTGCTGTACTGAGGACTCCACACCTGGCTGCAGTACTCCAGGTGTGCTGCAGTGCACCTGCACAGAGCAGAGGGGCAGGATCACCTCCCTCACCCTGCTGGGCATGCTGCTTTTGCTGCAGCCCAGCATACGGTTGGCTTTCTGGGCTGTGAGGCCACACTGCTGGCTCATGTTCAGCTGCCATCCACCAGTACCCCCAGGTCTTCTTTGGCAGGGCTGCGCTCTATCCTTACATCCCCCAGCTTGTACTGGTAGTGGGGGTTCTCCTGACCCAGGTGCAAGACCTGTCTCCTATAAAAAGACATAAAAACCCCTTTGTTACATTTCTCGTGAGGAGGAGTACTCCAACAGACTCCACAGAAATCCCTAGATCTTGTCATGGTATATTTCAGGTTGAAAAAATGAAACAATAAATCTGCAGAGAAAATAAAGTGAATATTAGATTATTATTATTTTTTTTTTTTTCCCCAGGAAATGTTTATGTAAAGTGGTGCCTTTAAAAAAAAAAAAAAAAAAAAAAAAAAAAAAAAAAAAAAAAAAACCAAAAAGAGCAAGATGGCATTATTACCAGAGAAGACAAAGAATCACAATTAATTAAGCATTTTAATACACTTCAGTTTCAAAATGACATATTTTTTAGTCTATCAGATGATTCCTCTGTAGAAGCAAGTGTCTTCAAATAACATTCTGGTCCACATTACTTTATCAGCCACCTTACAAGACTCAGAAGGAACATACAACCACTGGTGGCTGAGCCACCAATGTTAGGAACACATGCAGGATTTTAGCCCAAATCCTTTGCAGAAACCTTGTTAGATAGGATGTCTTATGGACTGATGGCTACAAATCTAAAGTATGAGCAGAAGCTCTTTAAGAGAATGGAAGAGAGACTAGAGAATGTCTTGTAAGTTGAGGCTCTTAAGGCCAGTAACATACATGATGGGAAGAATCAAAGGAAGCAAATGTTGGCAAGAAAGTTGCAGTAGGAAGAAACACTTCAGCTCGCTGAAACAAAGAATGAACTTGCTTGGATAATCACAGAACAATAGCAGTAGAACTTGGATTTAATTTACCTCTACATGGAGTGAAAATTAGAAACATCTGTTTAACAATTCTGTAATAACACTGCTTTACAACAGAGATAATAAAATGAAGGAAGGACTTTGCCCCAGACTAACTTCCTTCTGGCACTAAACACGCTGCTTTGCTACAGTTTAATATCTGAAGCATAGAGCAAGGTTTAACCTCAATAACCTGGCTGCCTGCTGACATCTTACTACCTTCAGCTCATGACAGTTTCAACACTGAGATTCTTTTCTTTCCGCTCCAAGCCCACAGTTGTGCAGTGCTTCAAGTTATTTGCTGTGCCCGATATTTCTGTGCATGTGAGAAGGAGACAACAGGTTGTACTTCTGAATGGAAAGAGGTTAGAGATGAACACTACACCTCTGGTTGAGAAAGCAAGCTAGCAAAACAGTGAGGTAGGAAGTCAGCCTATTTATTTGTCAGTATTTGTTTTGTGTTGGACATGAGAAGGGCTGTGGCAACTGCTATAGCATCTTGGTTTCAGCTGGGACAGAGTTGATTTTATTCATAGAATCAGATATGCTGCTATGTTTTGGCTGTAGGAGTGAAACAGTGTGAATAGCGTTTAATAGTGTTACATATTATAGTATTATCATTGCTATTATTTCTATCTTCCTTTTATGATTTAGTAAATAGATTTTATCTTAACCTAGGAGTTTTATTTTTTTTTACCAGTTCTCTTCCCCATCCTCCCAGAAGAAGGGGGGAGTGAGCTGAGGGCTGTACGGTGCTGAGCTGCTTGCTGGGTTAAATGACAACACACAGCTAAAGAAGTGGCTAATGTGCAGATTTCTCTGGCTCTGGCATGAATTGACCTCGCTCCTACAGTTGAAAGTCACTGTTACCTGTCATTTTCAAAAGGCTGTGTTTTCATGGGTTACAATAAAAGACAGCTCATTCCCACCACTGACCCAGAGCACATTTGTGCTTCTGGGGGCATGAATGTAGGCACGTACCAAAGCAAGGTCACATCCCAAACAAACTCCCCCCACTAATATCTCCTCTCCTCTCCTCTCCTCTCCTCTCCTCTCCTCTCCTCTCCTCTCCTCTCCTCTCCTCTCCTCTCCTCTCCTCTCCTCTCCTCTCCTCTCCTCTCCTCTCCTCTCCTCTCCTCTCCTCTCCTCTCCTCTCCTCTCCTCTCCTCTCCTCTCCTCTCCTCTCCTCTCCTCCATTAGCTGGTCTATTTTTTCAGATTCCTGGTCTTTCTGAAGGAGACAGCATATGGACAGATAGCAAGCAGAAAAGCAGAGGA